CGGAGGTCATCTAGTCCAACCCCCTGCTCCAGTAGGAGATCCTTACAGAATCAAAGAATTGCAGGGTTAGAAGTAAGTGTGTGTGGGGGTGTGGGGGTGTGTGCATGGCTGTCAAAACTCCAAAAACAGGTCAAGTAGCTCTTGGGAGATCAGTCCTAAATTAGAACACTTGCTAAGCAACCGGCCATTAAGTGAGGACCATTTATATTTGGTTTGCCAGTCACATGGCCACCAGGCCACGCCCATCCTGTCACATGACCACCAAGCCACACCCACAAATTAAGCCATGCCTACAGAACCGGTTGTTACAAAATTTGAATCCCCCCCTCTGTACAGGATGAATCTGTTCTTCAAAATTAAAAAATTAAATGCAACATTGTAATGAAGTGGGGTGGGGAGAGACAAAAATGAGCTGAATTATTTTTTTTGCAGGACTTTCTCAGAAATGTATTATTACTACTGTTTTAATTATTTTGCATTTCATGCAATTAGCTAACTTGAGTTTTTTCACATGAGAAAAGTGGGGTCTTTAATTATATATTTTCAATATTCATAAACGTATTAAATGTTCTTTTTTATTCCTTGTGAAGTGAATAGAGGGAAATGTTTCACAGTTTTGTTTTGTTTTAAAGTATTTGCAGTTGGGATATTGAAATCTTTGTTTGATTAGACAAATGATCCATCTTTCATTTGATTAACAATAATTCTCGTGGAGCAACATAACCCAGTTCCCATGTGAAAAATCTGATAATTATCTTCATTGTATCCCTTGTTTGAAGAAAACATCAAGTCATTAGCTAAGGAGATGGGTGGATCAGCTCATTTAAACAGGGAGATCTGCACCTGTGCCTAAAACTAAAACCAATTTCAAATACAAATTCTGTCAAGGTTTGTCAGTCTTCCTCCGTCTTTGAAGCAACAATAGAACTGCCATAGTCATGCAGTGTGGTGGTACTTTTAATAATAGCACAATGAAAGAGAATAAATTGTAACACATCATTAGCATACTTTCCATTGTGCCCATTCTTCTAGTTCATGATGAATCAAGGCCATTTATCTAATCTTCTACATCAACAGTACACAATCAGAAGTTTCCAAGATTTCATGTGCCCACCCCCCCCACCCCCCCAAAGTCCTGGCTATCTCTTTAAGAGATTTTGATGTAAGTGATATTTTGAATGTGTCTAAAGGGGGAATTTTAAGTATTAGGCTAGATTATAAACAGGCTAAGTATAGTTAAGTTTAATATAATGACAACTTTAAAAGATTCAAATGGAGCTTTTGTTCTGCCTCCAAACAACCATTTTGGAGTGGAATCCATAATACACCACTCAGTGTTTGGCTGACCCAAGATCCTGGTAAACTGAGAGTAAAACTTTTTAATTTAAACTGGAGGAATCTTTCATTAGGATCTGATCATCAATTCCTGATTTTTTTTTTCCATAGTGTACAAAACAGGCTACCGTACTATGTGGATGAAGGTGGTGGGGGCTTCTTCGCTTCATCATATTTTGTCAATCAACAACTTGTTTATGTATATTTTCTGCTTTTCTCAGAACAAAGAATCTCTGAAAAAAAAATGAGGTTAATGTTACAAGCACAATAGTAATTTGAAAACTGCTTGCCAATTGCAACAACACAGAGGTTACAGCATTGAAATGACTTGATATTTCCTGCTTTCCTGTTTTCTAATCACAGCAAGCTCTCTTGCTTGTTGTAATTGTTCTTCCCATTAACATTCACACTCAATAAACACATTCCCATCTGATGCATTTTACATAATAAGAATCTAAATATGCAGCCAATTTCTAATTTGCCACATGATTAGTAGAATGAACGAAATGTTATTTATCAATATACCTACATTAAGCCTAGCATACTGCATATGAGAAAAGTTCTTTACCCAAACAAATTTGTGATCTAAATATCCAGGAGAAATCTAAAATCTAAAATCTGGGAGAAAAGAAAAGACTATTTGACTACATTTAGTTGACATTAAGACTTGGATTGAAGGAAAAGTTTAACATCAATTCTCAGAAACTATTATATAAAAGTAGAGGAAGGAAGCAAGGAATGTTGTAGGTCCCATCCCCTAGAGAGATACAGATGGTGGGACTCAGAAGAAGGTCCTTCTCCGTGGTGGCTCCCTCTCTCTGGAGCATCATTCCCCCAGAGATTAGAATGGCTCCCACTCTAACGCTCTTCCGGAAGGCTCTGAAGACCTGGTTCTGCCAGCGGGCCTGGAAACACAGAGCAGGATGGAGCCCATTAAATGGTGCATGTGATATGTTGTTGCTGGGGCAGGGTGGCGGGGTAGAGTGTTATTTCATTGATGATTTCATTATTTCATTTATTATTGATTTTCTTTATTAGTTTTATTGTTTTTATATATATATGATATTCTTGTAAGCCGCCTTAAGTCACCATGGAGGCAGCAATATAAATTTCCAAATAAATCAATAAGTGCATTAAAAGGTACTGCAGGTTTTCTACCTCTGTATGATCAAATCTTTATCAAAGCAATAGCGTGGGCTAAAATGAAATCCAAGCAGTGCAGTCTTTAAATGAGTAAGCACTAAAAGAGGAGGAGCTGCTGTTTTGTTTCTTGCCTCCCTTAGAGAAAAGATGTGCAAACAAGAGAATGGACAGACAAATCCAGGAAGAACAGCAGGGGCACAATAAAAGTGTTAGCAGATACTGTATACCTGACTTGGCAGGTATCTGACAACAGGACTTCCAACACTGTGGCAGAATATGTACGTGTTTTTGAGGGAGATGATTTAAAGAGGCAGGGCCACACAGCCTTTCAGTTTTCTTTTCTTATTTACAGATTCTGCAATACAGTGTGGTCTGTTGCTTCCTTCAAGGCAAACAGTACATTTTTGTCTCTCAAAGAAGCACTTAACACCTCCCAAATAAAGCCACACATGTCCTTTCTAGTTACCCAAAGGATCCAATTGGTCCAGGATCCAGACCATGGATTCTGCATTCTACAGAGTCCCACTGTTTCGAAGATCAGCACTGCAAGTAAAATCCAGATGACTTTTCAAGATGTTGCACTAGTCAGCAAAATCTGTCCAGGTGGAATCCAAACCAGAGCAACACGAGTGATTTCATTGGTAGAATGTTTGGCAAAGATGTCTGTCAACAGGTATTCCTGCCCTTCCTTATCTACCAGGGCATGAGCCATCTTAAACAGAGCCACTGTCAGACACAACTGGACAGGGAAACCTTTACCTATTATTATTATTATTATTATTATTATTTATTTATTTATTTATTTATTTATTTATTTTATAATTGTTTGTGAAATTTCTCCTCGGGACAGATTTAGAAATGGGAGAAACTTCATGCCTCAGATTTCTGTGAGATAAAATGTTAACACTGTAATAAGGAACCTAACACGATTTTCAAATGAGTCAAAGATAATCACAAGGCTGCATATCTGACTTGACTTTAAATCTTTTAGATCTTTTAAGATAAGCATTAGATCCTGTGGCCATCCACATATTATTGTAACTTTACTCACTGTTTTAGCCATTGATAAGGCATGTGTGGAATTCAGTAACTATTGGAGGATTTGCATTGCCCATCTGGCAATGGCTTAGAAGGAACAGTCAGCAGACATTTCAGATGATCCAGAGATAATGTTAAAGAGCAATGTGAAACCAGTGTTAGTTTTAGTTTAGTTAGAAGGGAAGGGGAAAGGGGAAGGGAAGGGAAGAGAGAGGAAAGGGAGAGGAAAGGGGAGGAAAGGGAAAAAGAAGGGAAAGGCATTAAATGTTGCTTCCAAATTCTCTTATATTGGTGGCTGGCTGCTTCTTAGACCAGCTGACAAAATCACCATCTTCATAATATTGTTTTTTTAAAAGGAGTTTAAGAGTTCTGTCTTCTTTTCTTATTAGCACTTGATTGCATTGAACAGCTGGAGTACTGATTCTTTTTATTTAGTTTTAAATATATCTAAAAAGGACTTTTTATTTGTTTCATATTTTCATATGTCCATCCACCTTGCTATAGCGAGTAGCCAACAATAGAGTAAAAAAACATACAAATAAAAACCAACTTTGTTTTTACCCTTTTTTGTCAAAATTATACCTTACACATTCACTTTTCTCTACAGAATCCTTCTTTGGTGATGTCTCCCTTTTTCTATTTTCTATTTGTGTCCTTCTTATTCTTTGAAACTTCACTAAGCTTTTTATGCAGACACACTGGTTTCTGTTGCTGCTGTCTTTGAGGGTTTTTTCTGTCAATGGAATCATTTGTAATTGTGCTTTGGGTATTTCTTTGCTTTAGAATCTCTCAACCACCTTTAAGCTCACTTCCCCAGTGTCCAGTTTTGGAGTCTTACTTAGCATTTCTCTGAGTTTATTAAACTCTATTTGCTTTGAAGTTCACAACATGTTGATTTCACTCAACTCCACATTTCCTTAAAATCAAGAATTTTGGCTTTATTTATTATTTTCTACCAATGCTGGAAGCCAAGGGGTGTAACTAAGACAGGGAACAGTTGCTGGGCAACTAGGTAACAGCTTCTAGAGCAGGGTCCAGAGGGAGGGAGAGGTAGGAGCATTATCCTCTCAGTTGCAATATCTATTTAATCTTTCACTAACTACTTCTGAGCTCTTGAGGGCCATTAAGTTTTCTAGTTCTCTGTTTTGCTGTTTGGAGAGGTATCAGGTCACTTGGTACTGAAAATTACTACAATTTTCTCAGGAATTAACTATATCAAACAGGTATGGTGGTGCTGTTGTCTTCGACAAACCTGTTAAACCAGCATAGCTGTTAAGTGACACAGAACTTTTGGCCGACAGCCATGTGATAGACAATTCCCAAGACCGGCTCTGCTTTCCATGGAGCATAGGGCAAAGGCCAAAAAAGCAGGACAGAGGATTGGACAACTCATCTCAGTGAAGACCTTGGGTCTGAGTAAATATTAAATCTCACCGGTGTTTACACATGGCTTTGTGTGTGCCTCATTTTGGATGAGCCTGTATCAGGTGAACAATACCAGAGAAAGCTTCAAATAAGGTAAGACCATAATTTTATGTTTACACCAGTGGGGAGGGAGAGTTGTATGTGAATGTGGGTGTGAGTGGGTATTTATACAATTGAGGGAGGGGGGGAGGGAGGGAGGAAAGGAAGGAAGGAAGGAAGGAAGGAAAAGATTAGCTGTTAGTTGTTGGTAGGAATTAGCAATTACGCAAAGCCCAAATTATTTTCTTTTACACATTTTGTTATAGTTCTACCAAAAAGAAAATACTGTGTATTTTTGTGCATTAATAGGAAAAGCAAACTATTGATCTGCAATCTGGACTGCAGAGGCTATAAAGGTGGGAAGTAAACTGTAAGCGAGGGGGGAGGACAGAGCAGGTGGGAGTCCTGTTTCCCTAGGCCGCTTGCAGAAGACAGCATGGTTGAGGCAGTTTGGGGAGAGGAACCGGGAGGGGGCATGGGGCTTGTGGACCTTAAGATGCCAACTTTTCTCTCCAGATAATTACTGTCTATTTAATAAAATATGTGGTGAGGGAAGGAAGAGGCCCCGAACTTTGCTGAGGGGAGGAAGGCTGAGATACGTTCAATTTTTGAAGGGAACCAATGAGGAAAACTCCTAAATATGGGTGCATAAACAACCCCACCATTAATAATATAGAAGAACATGAGGAGCTACCTAATATTGGGTCAGAGTATTGATTTATCTACGCTAGTATTGGCCTTTCTGATTGGCAGCTGAGATGTCAGTGGAGATCTCTCCCAAACTGGTTTTTGGCAAGGTATAAGTGGATGGATTACTGAATGTACAGTAGATGCTTGTGTATCCCTATATAAGGAGATAATGACCAGTAGACTTTTTCCTGCCTTAATTCTGGTGGTGATATGGTCGAGAAACTCTGTCACTTCCACGTTTGGATCATGAGAATGTCTTTGCTGAGCCTAACATTTTAGATTTTGTTATGGAAAGCAAAAAAAAAGAAAAGAAACCTGGATAAAGGGAAAGCTTGAAGCCCAATTATACTTCTGGAATTAGCCAACCATGTAGCAGTAACTTATCCCAAGATCAGTTTTAATTGCCCAGAATAACTGCTTTTGAAGAACTGATACAGCCTCATCTCAAGAAGCTTTCCCAAACTTGATGCCCTCCACATGTTGAGATTACAGTTTGCAGCATCAGCTGTATTGATTGGGAATTCTGGAAGTTGTAGTCTTTGAAATTAGCACACTTAGAAGACATGGACTGGTTTTATACTCTTCAAATTTTTGTTCAGTTGCTATTTTCACAATGGGACTGCTATATAATATTAAACTTTCTGTGACAAGAAAAGGCACAAAGGAAGAGCATGTAATAAATATTTCAAGAGGACAATTTAATCTTTCTCTTTTTCACACACACACACACACACACACACACTATACCAAAAGGAAAACAAAGGGAGGCATAAGTTTGTTTAATTTATTTCGGGTCAAGTATAAGCATTGTCAGAAGTGCATCCCCTGATATATACAGGTAATCCTCGACTTACAATCACAATTGAGCCCAAAATTTCTCTTGCTAAGTGAGACATTTATTAAGTGAATTTTGCTCCAATTTTACAACCTTTCTTGCCACAGTTATGAAGTGAATCACTGCAGGTATTTAGTCACACGGTTGTTAAGTGAATCTGGCTTCCGCATTGATTTTGCTTGTCAGAAGGTTACAAAAGGTGATCATATAACCCTGGGACAGTGCAACCGTCATAAATATGAGTCAGTTGCCAAACATCTGAATTTTGATCATGGGGATGCTTCAAGGGTCATAAGTGTGAAAAGTGGTCCTAAGTCACTTTTTTCAGTGCCATTGTAACTTCAAATGGTCATTAAGTGAACTGTTGTAAGTCAAGTCTACCTGTATTTATGGTAAATTTATGAAATCACTTTGATTAGTAATATTTCCCTTCTGGGCATTGTCATAATGTAGTGAGCTTTTTTCTGTTCTCCTTGCAGGGCTAATATTGAATTCCATGCCTCGCTACTTAATTTTTTATCCTATCATCAATATGTATATAATCAAATGACCACGAAACTATGCAAAGGAACGGCTTATATGCTGACGTGTGATCTGATCCAATGTACATTTACACTAAAAGATGTCCATATGTTTACTGTGGCTTATTCTCAGATAAATTTACAATGAATTTCAGCCTTTCAATATTGAATTTCAGTAGGTCACTCCAGGGGGGAGGAGCAGTTAAGATATTGCTCTGGGTATTTATGGTCCTTGCTTTGATCCTTGAAGTAGCCTGCAGCCTTCAGATGTAGCGTCAGATGCTAGCATATATATAGTACTGAAATAAAATTCAGTGACATGCCAGTTAGCTGCTGTTTACTGAATTGAGAAAGACAGCATTTTGTCGTCCCCTACTCCTTTTATTCCTTGCAGACTCAATGTACCCCTAAGCATAAGAAAGTAATACTTCAACATTCTTGAAATCATGCTTGCTTCAATTTTTCCTTATCTATAAATGTGCCCCAGAAGTATTTAGGTGGGAATCTCACATATTTGGAGAACATAAATATAAATCGTGGATCCTAATTCTTGCTTTGCTGTTTGGTAAGGTAACCATGACTGAGGGAGAAGAACAGGAGGAAGATCCAGTGGAATCACCACCACAAAACAGACAGAAGAATAAAGCAATTATCTGCCAACGCTGCATCCCACTTTTGATACTCTTGGTGCTGTTGGGAGGAGCTGGAGCAATAACTTGGTATTTCTTAGGTAACAAATGCAACACATCATTCTTTGTATTCCTGATCCAATATTGGGGGTCAAGGAGAGAAAGTGCTCAGGGAAATCTTTGCAGGGAGAAGAGTCAGTATAGCTGCATGTGACCTGCCTAATGGCCACATCAAATGACTATTTAGTTCATCTATGGTCAAGGGGTACAAAAATAAAGTACAAAGATTATTTTGACATAATGTGTGTGTGTGTAGATCTTATTTTCCATTTAAGTCCAATATAGTTGATCTAGCATTTTCTAAGATTGCCAGGTAGCACACTTAAGGCAAGGAATTATTACACTACAAACACAACAAGATTTTTGCCTAGATTTCTAGTTACTTTGGGCCTATGATCTAATGGCAATGTTTGTAATCTTCCATGACCTAGAAATAATTAGCATCCATATCTCTTTGTGGCAGACTACAGACCATGGTATCTGAATTCTGCACATCTGCATTTCTACTCTGGCAGCTTGAGGATCATCAATCGGCAGTATTCCCAGGATCATGGGAGAATGGAATCCAGAGCTTTCTGGACAGAGAGATCAAAGATACAGAAGATGGTGGGATTTCATGAGTAAAATAGCATATTTGACTATGTGGTTTAATGGATATGAGCATAAACCTCGACAGCTTTTTTATTGGATCTGCCTCAATAGTTTCGTAGCAATATAACATGCAAAATTAAATATGTCCATATCTCTCTCCTATTATCATTTTCATCTACTCAGATATTGCTAATGTGTTTTGTACCTGGTTGTGGATAAAAATAATTGAAACATATATAATTTACATATATGGTAATCTTCATTAAAGCTTGATGACTTAGTTTCATACACTAAATGAGAGGTGACATGCATTGTTAAGAGAAACATACCGGTACCTCAGCTGATGATTTAACAATCTCCTTTACAGTTAAAAGAACTAATTCATGCCACTAACTTGGCCTCTTTCTACAACTCCAGTGCTGTCTATGCCTTTGGGTAAGTGAAGCATTATTAGTTTTTTGAGAGATCATAGAACATGGATGGCCAGAAGTAGAACCTTATCTAACTGCTTTATAGATGCTCTGGTGTGCATCTATGCAACCTGGTTTTAGACTTTGTATGGACTTACTGCTCCATAACAATAGGATATTTGTGAATTTACACTTGTATATATAAGTTATTCTGGTCTGTGCTTCATGGGATGCAGGAAAGTATTATTTTCACCCAAAGAAATCTCTTCTATCTCATCTGAATTATAGTTTTGCATCTGGCCTTTTAATGATGATTTTTCTAGCAACTGCTTCCTGCCCTCCCTCTCACTGGGATTTGCTAGTCTGACACCTGCTTATATCTGCCTTAGATGTTGCAATATAAACATTAAACAATTTTGGATATATTTTTATTATGGAATTGGATAATTGGATTGAGTTATCTCCTGTGATGATTGGAAATATTCTAGCGTCCTAACTTAGTTATCATTGTTTCATGATATTTCTAGAAAACTAGAAAAGATGTGATAAATGTAAAAATTGTTTTTCTAATAGAGAAGGGTCTTTGACATGTTTCTTCTGGCTCGCCCTTCAAGTCCCAAAAGATCGGCATGTGGAGGTAGCAGTGGAAGAAGTAAAAGACACACTCTATAGTGAACTTCTTACCAGCTTCAACAGAACAGGGTTCATCTCTTATCAGAATGAATACAAAATTGATCCAGAATCTTTAATTTTATTGGGTAGGTACTAACTATATATCTTCCCTTAATATTTCCAAGAAAGCAGTTTCCAAATTTGAAATTCAGATCTCTTTATACTGGGGGGAGGGGAGTGCAATGACATCCTGTAGATTGGGATCATATATCAATATATCTACTGTATTGCCAATATAGAAGAAATAATCTTCAAGAGCAATTAATCTTCAAGAGCATTGAAAAAATATTTTTAAACCAAAATAATTGTAACTAGATTAAACATGCTAAAAGGTATACATAGGAGCCTGATCCAACTGAACATCCCATTGAAGTAAGTAGATAAATCTTCTACGTATTTTATATTTATCTGGTTGTCTGACTATTTCAACATTTTGGCCCTTTTGAGCTATTGGAATAAGTGAGAAAGCACTACAGGTTTCCTTTCTTTTATAACAAGGGTTATCTCTTTGAAAAGGCATCATTATTTCCAATTCTTTGAATTTCCTTATATGGATCCCTATATGGTATCATCAAATGAGTAGCATTGTTGCTTTCTACTAGTACTGTTTGAAGATGAAGAGAGCTGGATCTAGACCTAGGGTCTAGGCCTTTTCAATTTGTTTGTATTACTTCCAAAATAAGTAGAAAGTTTTCAAAAGAGAAAAGAATTTGAAAAACTTCCAGGGGTGGATTGTAGGTCAATAAATTGGTTAGAGTGCTACATTGATAATGGAAGTGTCTTTTCATCCAGGAAGAGATGATAAGATCTTTATCACTTGTGAGGTGCAAAGACACTTGCTTTTTACCTAAAGAGCAGCTGAAAACTTTTATATTTCAGGTATTAACGCCTCTGTGCAAACTAGAGTTGAACATCAATAGCCTCACAAGATCCTGCATCAGATTTATCACCAAAGTAATAGGTGATAAATCTTACTAAGGTAATAGTAAGACATTTTTTTCCAGAATGTCTTCTGAGGGAGAAATACTTCAACAATTTTGTAGGGAAAGAGCTCCCTTAATAATAATAGCAAATGGAAGTGTTATTTACCTCACATTCTTTAGTCTGAATTGCAGCATGAAAAGCCCAGGAGAAATGATTGCATATTAAAATTCAAGGTATTTGCACAAGTCTGTGGACATTTCATAACCGAGTAGAACCTCACACTCCATGAGTGGGCATTTCTGCAGCACTCTCATCTCCCTTGCTGCTTTGCATACAGAAAGAAATTGAATAATGAGAGTGAAAGAGAAGGAGATTGAAAATGGGGCACTTGATCTCCATGCTGGACTTCCCAGATGATCTGCAGTGTTCTAAAAGAGTGAGGAAAGCCTTCCCTTTTTTACTCAGAACTAGAGAGTTGGTCCTTATCTCCAGATCTGCTTTCAATGTTTGTCACATATTTATTTTGCAAGGAGGCTTGTGCAAGGCTGACGATTGCATTAAAGTAACTCTATTATTCCTCTAACTTTTTATACCAACACAGAAATCTAGCAGCATTATATCTGAAGGCTCAGAAAAAGTGAACAAATGGTTAATATTCTTTCTAAAATGTTATCGTTATGGTTATTTTGTCTCCCTTTTTATTCATGCTAAGCAACCAGGGACCTCCTTAATTGCCTCTTGCTTGGTTTCCCTTCTCAAAATAGCTGATATTAAAGACTAATGGAAAGTATTTTTGCTTTACTTACCTAAACCATTTTCTTTCTATATTTTTTTCACCCTTTTGCTTCAGTGTTACATCCTCTTAAGTTCTACAGATAGCTTTTGCTCCCTGTAGTGATTTATCAATGCATTTGATAAATGTGTTTATCAATACATTTTTTAGTGAGTGTCAAGATGCTTCTTCAATCTATCCTTCAATGCTTCTTTCTTCCTGCCCCCCCCCCCCCAAAAGGAATTTGGTAGCATTAATTACAACTTGTAATGCTTTAGCCACTTTTATCCTCTGACACTGCCTCCCTAGGTACTCTAAGGCTGGCTAGCATGCCTGGCAGAGATTTTGTATGTAAATTGGGAGAGGAGGGGGCAGAATTTAATTCAGAGGTGAATGCTTCCATATTTTAACAGGCAGTGCTTCCCATATATCGTTTCAGCATTACAGTATAAATCAAAGGATTGCTGGAAATTCATGAAAATGCATATCTTGAGTCAAAATCAGCACATTGGACAGAAAGGTTTCAGAAATCAAGTGGGATGTAATCAATTTGTTTATATATATGTGTGTGTGTGTGTGTGTATGTGTGTGTGTATGTATATACAGAAGCCTGATGATGGCAGATGAGATTCTGCCGAAACGTTGCTACAACTTTAAAAGCACAACTACAATGACGTGGGAAAATATCCGAACAGAGCTGAATACCATACATATGTATATGCATATGTATATGTATATGTATATGTATATGTATATGTATATGTATATGTATATGTATATGTATATGCATATGTATATGTATATGTATGAGATTCAGTGGTGGTAAGCTACCGGTTTGGACTGGTTCTACCGAACTGGTAGTAAAAAAGCCTCCAAGGATCAGCTGAGAGGATAAAGAAGAGAAAAGTTCAGGGTCAGTCCTCCCACCCACCCCTATGCTTTTCTCTTCTTTATCCTCTCAGCTGACTGGCGCTGCAGGCCTCAGCTGGTGTGTGGAAAGCTGCGTGCATGCATGATCACCAAACCTGTAGTGGAACAGGTAGGATCCCACTGCTGATATGATCATAATGATGATGATGATGATGTTTGTATCATTAGCTCTGGCTGTGGCTATTCAAGCCTGCAGAAAAAACTCTACCTTGAGATGTACCAGTACTGTGATGGGTCAATATAACTGCTTGCTTTATTCCCATAAACTCAGCAGTAGATACTGGCAAACATCAAGGTGGATAAACCACTGACTGGAAGTTGCATGACTAGCATTCTGTTAATGGGTCTGTCCCTAACCTTGGGGGCAACAGACAGTTCAGGCAATGGTAGATATAGAGTCTGGCAGCACTGAACCTTTGATGGCCTTTGTCAATGGAAGACTCACCTTTGACCTGCCAGTAATTTTTCCCAAAGTTTTTCAGGAATCCCCAACAGGCTGTAGCCTTTTTGGATCATTATCAGTCACCGGATACCCTACAAGAGACAACTGCAATACAGATATATCCTTTGTATCAATATGCCACCTCTGCAATTTCAAAAAATGCCATAAGTAATATAATTATAATCATTTTCAAACTATATGGCTTGTTTTCAGGTGGTGCAGCTTTTTCATCCTAAGGTTGGGTTTCCATACCTCATGGATTCCACATGTTTTGTGCTGGAGGGCACCTTTGGAATATTTGCATGTGTTGTTGTGAAATTCAATTTAATCCCTTTAATTTGCATGGCCACCCACTCACTTCGACATTAAAAACAACTTTAAAAATCAATAATAAAAATACAACAAACCAATACAAATAAATGTGGTTATTATAAAGATTTCCTCATTCACAAAATGACTGTCATACTAAACCAGCTTGTTAAAAGCATTGATATACTCACATAGTTCCTGTCTGGTGTACCATGCCCACTTTACCAACAGGATGATTCCTACTATCCCTGCTTATCTTTGTCCTTTATTTGGACAAATTGACACCCTTCCATAATCCTGGGCTGCAGCTGCATATCATGTTTATTTTCTAACAAAGTTTATTGGGCACATTTCAGGTCAAAGTTGTTTGGGGAAATAGTGATGGAAATGGAAATTGGCATTTTGCTCTGCAGCATGTATCTTCTTTTATATTCATATTTTTTTAAAAGCAAAAGGTCAGGTGAGAATGGGAGCCTTTACGTGCCGAGGGAGATGTCTCTGAGCATATTTGTGTCCTACTGCTAAAATATATTGTGATGTGACTTTATTGTAGCCCAACTTGTGAACCTATCATTGTAGATCCTGGTTTTGAGCTTAGAATGATGTGTGAAATATCCAAATGTATCTTCAAGATAGTGTGACTAACTGAATTAGCAGAATATGTGAAGCCATCTCTCACACTTTCCTTAAACTAATCATAGCTACCAATTCAGCTGTCATAGTAAATCTCTCATAATTTAAAGTAGGAGATGATGCCTATGTAGCTCCTCTTCTTTTGGCATCTATTGGAGAGGGAGGGTGATGCTTACAATGTGAATTTGCAGAATGTTTAAACCATGGCTTAGAAGTAGGTCCGAATTGTAGTGTTATTGCAAGACAGAGAGGAGTAAAGTAGACCATGAATGTGACTGACATGAACCAGAGCAAGGAGCATTAGGTAGTTTAGTTGTGGCATCTCATGTGTTTGTCTTCCTTTTTTCTTTTTCTTTCTTTTTTTTTCTTTTCCACAGAATCCAGCCTCAAAGACATAATAGTGCTGAAATCCACCTTGGGTAGGCTCTTTATTTCCCCCTTCTTTTATTCATTTAATTTATTTGGTTATGTTTGTTGCATTGTAAATTACAAAGTAAAAACTGTTGCAGACAACCCCATCAATTAATATGGCATCAGGGACCAAAATGAAATATTTTTGTAAAGTTATGTACCACTTTAATGTTGTGCTTGTGTTTTTATACTGATGCATTTTTAGCACAGGCTGACTTTTTATCTAATGTTTGTTAGTGTCTCTTTAAGTCCACCTTACATAAAAAGATGGTTAATAAGAAATATGAATCATAACAGCATGCATGATGATAATTCTGCTCCCGAAACCTCTTTCACTAGTTGTTTCAGCAAGGAACCTACTTTCACAAATTAAATGAAAAACATCTAAACATCTTAAAGCAAATTTCTTTCTGTATGTACCATGTTAATTGAGTGTGTATGTATGTATGTATTAAATGTGTACGCCACCAACTCTTTCCAGACTCACAGAGGCTTATCTAGTAGTGTAAGAAAACACCCAAATAAAGGATGGAAAGTAGCACACAAACAATTCATTAACTAAAAACAAAATGGTATAATATATAATAAATAAATGATGTAAATTGAAAAAACTCAGTCTTCATTAACTTTTGGAACCACTGATCACCACTGGAACCAGTATCACTCCAGGGGAAAGCTGTTATAGATATTTTCTAGCTTTATCTCATCTGGCCTTGTGAAACTGGGTTATGATAAGCAGCTTCTCCTGGAAAAACCTCTTTGCATAGGACAAATCTAGTTGAAATAAGTAGTTCAAGGATGTAGGAATAACTGCTTTTGGTGGTGCATATTAATAGATAGGTCTCAATAAATGGATACTTATTCCTCAGTGCCAGCAATAGGCTTGTTTTCCAATAACTCTAGTATGCGAAGGGCTCCATTTCCTGACTATATTAGCAAACATGGTGACATTTCTTTCCTTCTTGGCTGCCATATATATTTAATTTTGCACTATATTGTAACTTCTTTTTAAGTGTTTGATGTTTGATTCCCAGAGTTACTTGTTTGAGATGGGCAGCTATAGAAATTGAATGAATGAATGATTGAACAAACAAATGAATAAACGAATGAATGAATGAATGAAGTCTTCAACTTGCACCCATAACTGAGCTCAGAATTTAGGTTGTTGCTAAGTGAGACATTTTGTTAAGTGAGTTTTGCCCCATTTTACGATTTTTCTTGCCACAATTGTTAAGTGAATCACTGCATTTGGTAAGTTAGTCACATGGTTGTTATGTGAATCTGGCTTCCCATTGACTTTGCTTGCCAGAAGTTCACAAAAGGGGATCACATGACCCTGGGGCACTGCAATTGCCATAAATGTGAGTCAATTGTCAAGCATCTGAATGTAAATCATGTGACCATGGGGATCCTTCAACAGTTGTAAGTGTGAAAAATTATCATGTCACTTTTTTCAGTGTCGTAATTTCAAATAGTCACTGAAATGAACTGTTGTAAGTCAAGGACTACCAATAAATAAATAAATAAGAACATGTTTATGATTCTCAGTATATATTAGTGCAAGTAAGGCTTCTGTAAATATACTCCAGGGCTGAAAGCTATTGTTGTGTACATGAAGGCTGAAGGTGCCATGATAAAAGGATGTAAACCCTTTAAATGGTCCTAGTTTTAAACCTGAGATTAGGCAGGTGGATGGTGCAGACTCATTTTCAATGGAAGAATGATTGAAATCGGTCGCCTTGGTACAAAATAATCTATGCGGGGTAAATTATACATAGATTTTGGAAATAAATCAGAATAGATTGTTAGCAAGGCTTTACATAAAAATAAAGAGCGGTGCAAAAAATTGGATGTATCAGTTAAACAAGCACATCAAAAGCCCTGGTTTATGCAAAACTTATTTTCCCCCCTTAAAACTGTGGGTGGATTAACTGTATTTGGTTTCTTCCATGTCATCTCTTATCAACTGCATAGTGTATTCTTCAATTTTGTCTGTGTCATCTGTTTAGGCTGCTATAGGTACAGCTACATCAGAGAGGATGTAGTTCTAAAACTGAAGGGTCCAGACTATTTAGCCTCCAGTTGCCTTTGGCATCTCCATGGCCCCAAAGGTCACATGATCAAGCTTCACCTGGAATGGACTCTCTCAGAATGCAGGGACCGGTTGGCAATGTATGATGCTGCTGGGCCATTGGAGAAACAGCTCATCACTTCGTAGGTACCCTTCATTTTGTAGCAGCAAAAATGGGAAGCGGAGAAGAGCAATCATGAGTTCTATATCTCTCTCATAATCCACTTACGTGAAAATTTCAATTTAGGTTTAGGATATACAAGAAATTTCATTTTGCAAAATGATGATCCAGATAATCAACGGAAGTAGTACACATTGAACTCATGAAAAAGCTACTAATGATTACAAATCCTGTAGAATATACTAAGGTGGTTTTCCAATCTCCAGAGCAATTAGTTTTGGTTTTCATTAGTGGCAGGGAAAACCAATATCTGGTGCAATTTCGTGTGGCGATTGGTTTACAAAGCTAGTCCTACACTGATCCTTGAAGTTAAAATCAAAATTAGCATTCTGGTGGATTCTAACCACTCTTAGCCATGTCTTCTACACACTGAAATCTGATATTTTGAAAAAACAAAACAAAATGTATAGCAAGACGTGAAAGCACAGTTACCATTAATCTCTGCTTCTCAAAATACAAGTTTGGCCAAAAGGTTTTGTGTGCATCATTTTGCCAGAAAGATATGACCAGAATATGGAAGCTACCATATTTACATTTTCTTACATACCTTGTATGTTTCTAGCCCCTAGCGAGGTAAATATTTGACAGAAGACACTTGTGTGTTTTATCTATCTAGCCACCATCATTTATTGTTGCAAAAATATTTTATTTATCCAGGGACATTTATTTATTTCCTGGCCTTTTTTTGCTGTGTAACAACTTTTCTTTACCTCTCCTTGTTTCTTGTACGTCTTTCTTTATAAATACTTCCCCTCCTCCTTTTCAACTTGCGAATGTGATAACAATCTGTTTTCATTCTTTAGATTATATGGGTGTAGCCGGCAGGAACCTGTGGTTGAAGTTCTATCTTCTGGCCCAGTCATGTCTATCGTATGGAAGAAGGGGATGTACAGCTACTATGATCCTTTCATACTCTCTGCTCAGGCTGTGCCCTTTGAAGGTAAACAATGATATGGACAGAAAGAGATGGAAAATGTAGATTGCATTTGTGTTCTTCTAAAGATCTGTCTTTTTCTATATTTTCCAGTTACTGCTTCTGTTAACTTTAAGGTGGCACATATCTGCCACAGGGTAGGGCTAAGCAAAAGGATTCACAAACATTTGGAAGACAAGTTCAGATCAAATCTGGTATTAACAAAGAAGAACATCTGACATAAAGGTTATTGTAAAAAAGAGAAAAATTATGCTGTGATTAGACATAGTACACTCTAGGTAAGAGCAGAAGGATGTGTTTCAGTACAGCATAGACTGGGCTATAGGCCTATTCAGTATATAAATGCAGTATATTTGTGCAATTACACTGAGGAACTTTGACATGACTGAACTGGGAATATCAAAAGCTTGGAGAACTCTGGTTCTTCCCTCAGCTAAGCTGCAATTGTACTTTGCTCCCTGGTTGACTTCTTTACGCAGTTGTACTTTGATACCTCAGTTGTCTTCCTCTAATGGGAAGTTTTGTTGTTATCATAACAACAAAAGGGACAGGAACTGGTTTGATTTTTTTTTTCAAAGCTTTTCCCCACCCCCGGCTCCTGCTACAATAAGTAAATATAAATGTAGAAAGCTACCTAGTGTTTTGCTTTTGTTTTGCATCTTCTCATTGGTTAGCTGGAAGGAGCAGTCGGTGGCTGGCAGCATAGTAGGACAGAGTATAGCTGTGGTAGGAAACAGCTGAAGACAGTTGGAAAAAATAAAGCCAGTGCTGTGTGGGAGTTCTTGTACCCTGAGATCATAAGCATAGCTCATAAAGCCTGCAATAATTCAAATTTAACCCGTTTTTAGGCAGCGGAACTGAGAGATGGAATCTTTTGCTTGATTGGGGGAAGGGTTCACGTAGCTGCCTGCTGGAGTAGGCTGGCTACTCAACCTTTTTGTGTATTGGGTTTACATGCCAACCGAGAATTACAGAAAGAGGGTTGTGTAGTAGAGGGGCCTCCACCCTTGGCAACTTAAGACCTGTCGACTCTGGGAGTTGAAGTCCACAAGTCTTAAACTTGCCAGGGTTGGAGACCCCTGGTCTAGTACTTCTTTATGTCACCTAGTATGAAAAGGCAGGAAATAAATAATGCTGAGCTGGATAAATTATGGTCTGATTCAATGTAAGGCTATTTCATTTTTTTAGTCAGAGTCATCTTTCAGTATTGGCATCAGGGTGCATAATAACTTGAAGGAGTTTGCTTAAAATGAATGTGTGAATCCAGTTTCAGAAAAGAAAATAGTGGATGGTTGGCTTATGAGTACCGTAGGTGAAAATGGTAGGTACAAGTAGTCCTCGAGTTACGACTACAATTGAGCCCAAAATTTATGGTGCCGAGTGAAACATTTATTGAGTTTGCCCCAATTTATGACTTTTCTTGCACCAGTTGTTAAGTGAATCATTGCATATGTTAGTAACATGGTTGTTAAGTGAATCTGGGTTCTTCCTTGACTTGTCAGAAGGTTGCAAAAGCAGATCACATGACCCCAGAACACTGCAAGTATCGTAAATATGAGTCAGTTGCCAAGCATCTGACTTTTAATTACACGACCATTGAGGATGCTGAAACGGTCATAACTGAGCGGTGAAAAATGGTCATATATCACTTTTTTCAGTACCATTGTAACTTTGAACTGTCATTAAAGGAACTGTTGTACTTGTAAGTTGAGGGCTATCTGTACATGTGCACCAATCATAGACAAAGCTACACCAAAGGAATGGTCAATCAAACCCCAATTATGGGGAAATGTCTTTATAACTAGCAGGCTTTAGATAGGTATGCATCTCGGATGTACATTGATTGACTGTAGTTCTCCCTTCTCTAAACCGTTTACACAGTCAGCACATTGCCTCCAACAATTTGGGTCCTCATTTTACCCACTTAGGAAGGATGCGAAGGTTGAGTCAACCTTGAGATTTGAATTACCAAATTGCAGTCAGTCATCGGAAGTAGCCTGCAGTAGTATACTCTAAGCACTGTGCCACCATGGCTCATATCTATCATACCCTAGTACAGTGGTTCTCAACCTGTAGATCGCAACCCCTTTGGAGGTCGAACAACCCTTTCACATGGGTTGCCTAAGACCATCAGAAAACACATATTTTCTATGGTCTTAGGAACCGAGCCATAATTTTATGGTTGGGAGTCACCCCAACATGAGGAACTGTATTAAAGGGTCACGGCATTAGGAAGGTTAAGAACCACTGCCCTGGTATGTTAGTATTTGTATTAAATATCCTCATCCTTTTGTCAAAATATCCTTAAATATCCTTTTGTCAAAATAATAAACATGAACAACATTTTCTGTGAGACCCAGTAAGTGTGACAATACTTCTGTCTTTCCAGCCTGCCAGATGAACCTAACACTGCAGGAAAGCTGGGGACATCAAGGGAACATCAAGACTCCTTACTACCCAAGTTACTATGCACCAAATACACAATGCACTTGGCACATGATGGTATGATTTTGGCTGTTCTTAAGCAAAACTGAGCTGTGTGTACTTTTATACTTAAATAAGAGAAGCCAAATGCAGTAGACAATATACTAATAAATTCTTTTTTTTTAAGTTTTATTTGGGTTTTCACAAAAACAAAATACAAATAAAACATCTTTTTTGAAAATAGCATGGTGCCAGATTATCACTTCTTCATACAGACACCAAACTCAATTTCATGCTCATTTTTATATTCTATTCCATATCTTATTACCATTTTATATTTTCTACATAGTTTTTCCCCTGTTTTAATTTTCTCAACTTTATTTTAATTATCTCATCTCAATCAAATCATTATATTTATACTTTTGTCTGTCCTGTTTCAATTTCATATTATCTGTTCTTATTAAACAAATTTTTCCCTGTAGTTACCAATTGGAGTATGACACCTTTATATCTTTTAATTTTATCCATTCAAACTCTTATTTAAGCTTCAATGTATACCTTTAAGATTATAGCATTCAATATAATACATAACTTCCAATCGAATTCTACTTGGTACATTCTTAAAATACACACTATATACTTAAAAAGATTATATATATATATGCAAATAAACCACACATTCCATTCCAATTCAATTCTATCATTAATATTCATTAAAATCTTAACATCTTTAACATTTCTTTTCAATTAAATATTGTACTTCCTTGGGAACACTTATAAACTTTCCATAGTTAATTCTTTTTTTTCCATATTTCTCACTTATATTTTTATAAATCATTACTAATAATTAAAAATGTTCCAATTTAATTCTCTCAATCATTTTAATTCATTTATTACCAAACATTCAACTACCTTACAGTAAATATTTTATCCATCATTTTAATCATATTTTCTAAAATTATTTCTGTTTATAATATAACAATGCTATCTTATGTACCTTTGCAGAATCTCTTTTGCAATTAAATTTTCACCCATTACCTCTAAACAAACTTATGGTTACAATCCTTATATCTTTTCTCTGTTTCTCCATTTCTTGTTTCTGTCTTTTACAACTACTTTTCCTTGCCTTCTTCCCCCTCTTCTTCTCCCTCCCCTTTTTACCCCCTCTTCTCTCTACTTCTCTACTTCTAACTCTCTCTAATCCCCTCTTCTGTTGCTTTCTAATATTATACTTATCTTTCAAATTCTTCTTCTTCTTTTTGGTTGTTTTTTCTAGTCTTAAACCTTTCACTTTCTTTCCCCCCTTTTCTCCCACTTAAAATTACTTGATCATTAAAGATGGCTCTTCTTTCTCCCAATCTTCTTGTTCTGCAAGCATTTCTTGTTGTTTCTCATAGTTCCAGATCTCCATTTCTAAGAATTGAAATACGAAGCCAAAAGAACCTCTCCCTTCTTGTGCATCTTCTTTCCATTTTTTAAGTTCCATTTTCAGTTCTTCTAAGAGTGATACCATTTTAAAGACTTTTAAACAACCACCTGGTTAATTTTAGTCATCCAGATGCAAAAAACAAAAATCACCAAGAAATCCAAATAATCCAAGGCTGTTTCATTCTGCTTCTTTTTTCCACTTTCTCTTCTTGGAGTTCTATTATTTTGTTACCAAGTTTCAATTAAGATGTATCTTTGAGGAATCTTATTGAAATTTCACTATAAGTTCCTTTTAGTTATAGTTCCATTCCTTAGTTCCGGGCAGTCTCCTCCATTTTTCCAGATCCTGCCCTTTTATTCTTTTTTTTTACTCCTTTCCTGCTTTTAAAAACTTTTAAATATCCAGAAATCTTTATTATCCCTTTGACTTTTATGTTCAATTTAGATGCCTATTAATGTCAAAGTGGATTTTTTTTCAATTTCTTGCTTAAGTCTCTTAGCTGTCAGTATAAGGAAGGGAAGAAAAAAAAAACCTAATCCTTTCCCTTCTCTCTCTCCTTTGCTGCTTCAAAATCTTCTTTGGGAACAATGTTATTAAATTTAAATTCCAGGGTACCTTATTTGTTGCTTTTGCTGTTTGACCCAGTCAACCAAAACTTTCTCTTCTTATGTTCCTCCTGCACATTCTTTTCCGGTCGAGTTCTTCTTTGTGGTGGCCATTTCTGACCACCGCTACAACCACCTTCTGGAAAGGGAGTAATGGCCAGCTAGGGAGGAGAGATGCAGCTCTCCTCAACCCTGCATGAAGTCTCCCACATCTTCACCACCTCTACGGGGTGGCTTAGCCCCGAAACCAGGCAGCTCGGGGTGCTCCAGCGGCGAGCACAGATCAAAGCCTCACAGAGACAAGGTTTCGGTCTGTCGCTGAAGAAGCTCAAACCGGAAGACAATATACTAATAAATTCTTATTGACTTTATATTCTGCTGTTCCCCAAAAGTTGCACTGAGCACTGCCCATATAGACATTTAACACCATTCAATCGAAAGAATGGAGATTTGAATTTCTCTATATTGAAAAGTCTTAAAGTGGCAGTATAGTCATATTTTATAAGCCCTTACTGATCTCACCAAGGATGTATTTTAATACAGTTTGTTTTGTATTTTAGGAAAACTGTTTTCCTCTTCCTCTCTTTCTTAGCCCTTATGCTTTGTAACACTCATTTTTTTGTATTTAAGAATCAGGGACAAAGCTCTGTTTCTGTATGTATGTAAATAAAACTCTCAGTAGTTTTCAATGTCATAAAAGATCCAACTAGGCCAGGGGTGTCAAACTCGATTTCATTGATGGCCACATCAAGGTTGTGTTTGACCTTGGGAGGCCAGATTGGGCGTGGCCAGCTTAACATCTCGGACGTGAAAATGGAACTTGGGAAGGCCGCCCACGGCCCTTGTGAGCTGTTTTTGGCTGCGATGGTCTCCTGAAATCATCTGCCAGCGAAAACAGTGCTCATGAGGGCTGCACTGGCAGAGGCACTGTAGGCCAGCCCTTCACTATTTCCAGGGTAGCTCCATGGGTCAGGTCTAAGCAGCCTGTGGGCCAGATGTGGCCCACGGGCCTTGAGTTTGATCACCCTGAACTAGTTATAGTGGTTAAAAAACTGAAGAGACCATGAGTTCTAGTCCTGCCTTAGCAATAGCACTTAGACTTGTATACTGCTTCATAGTGCCTTACAGCCCTCTTAAGCCCTCTCTTAGGCCTAAAACCAGCTGGGTGAGTCTCTCTCATCCCTGGGAAGGAGGCATTTCTTAAAAACCTTGCCATCAAAACAGCAGGGACTATCCAGACTGATTCAAAGGAACATACTCACACAAATGCCTCTGCCATCCATTGCATTTCCTTCTTTGTAGGTCCCATCTCTGGAATATGGAGTTGTTCTTTGGTTTGATGCTTATACTCTCAGGAGGCAGAAGTACGACCTTCCATGTACTCAAGGCCAGTGGACCATCCAGAACAGAAAGTAAGGATCTACAAACATCTTGGTATGTTCATCTTACAGGAGTGACATACAAGAAACTATATCTATGATAGTAAAACAAATAGGAAAGCTTTTAAAAAAAACAACCTCTTGACTTTCCTATCTGATATCCTTCAAACATGCTGAATATCAACTACCCAACCTAGCCAGTATGCTGCTTTTTAGGATTTATAAAGAGAACCAAGTTTGAGAAATTTTCTCTATTTAAAAGTCCCTTTTGTTCTATTTTAGAAGTGGAAGAGAAGCCTTAAGCAATTAAAGATGAACAATGCAGTCCTAGATATGCTTAATCAGAGTAAGCTTCAATAGATTCAGCAGGACTTAAATTTACAAAATGCATCTGAGTTCATGAAACTTTTCCACAAAGAAATTGGATGGTTTCATAACTTTTATAAAATCAGTCTCTTGCTAGCTGTAAGTTAAATTCTGTAATGAAATTGCTCTCTTCACGAATACTCTAGCTCATTGTTAAATGACTTGGAATTATATTTCAGGCTGAGTTTCCCTTCATCTCTGCTATCCATCACTCAAGGATGTGACTCTTGAGAAATGATTTCTTTATCTGCTTCTGCAGCATCATATCTTCAGTGTATTGAGTTCTTGGGACTGTGCATTTAACAACTGCATGATGGACTGATATTCAGAATATACAATTTTCCATTTTTGCTATACTCTCGATGCTAAGGAAAATTGCACTTGCTAGATTTCTGGTAATAATTCGTTTTTAAAAAGAAAAAGTATTTTGCCTTAAAGGTATTGAAAAACAAGATCCAATTCTCCTCCCCCTCCCCCAACAGTTTTTTCTTGCTATATAGCTACATTACTTAAATTGGCTCAATTTTAAAAAGAAATCAAAGTTTGAATTTGGTCTCAGGTTTGTAATTCATTTCCTCCACTTTTTCAACATTATACTTTCATTAGGTGAGCCTTCTTCCTGCTGCCATGGTTTATTCCCTCTTCCTCATTTTTTAAAACAAGGCCTGGATGGCCCCAGAATTTATTTTAATTTGGGGGGGGTAGGAGTGTTTAGTAACTTGAGTTCTAGTATTCTGGTTGTGTCCACAACTAGTGCCAATTTCCGGGTGCATATACTGTATAGCTGATCCTGGAAGACAGTAACTTATTCTAAATTTATCCACTGGGGGAATTGTAGGTAATTTTACGATGGCAGATGTCTCACAGTTGCTGTGTTCATTACCAGCAAGCCTGGGTGTTGGAAGGGATCCAGAAGATGATGATTTTGACCTTCTCTTGCTCCCTAAATTTCATGGCATCTTTCTTCCGATACTCCTGGTGTTTTCAAAGGCAAGATAGTTGATTGTGATTTATGGCCCTAGTCTCTTTTAAAAACCTAGATTCTGTGGTCTGCGGATTTTGCAAGCCTATGCTGAAAGAATCCCTGTGATGTCTAGAGCTGGTGTCACCATCAACTTTACTTCTCAGATCTCCCTAACAGGGCCTGGAGTATGGGCTGCTTACAGTCTATATAATCAGTCAGACCGTAAGTATATAGTAATCTCTGAAACATGCAGTTCAGCTAACTGGAAACTTGTGGAAAAACCAACGCATGCCTTGTTATGAATGTTGCCATGAATCAAGGGCTAAACTTGTTTCAGACTAATGGGGAACTGGATGCTTTACAGCAGAACATCAATATTATTTAATTGCAGGGGACATTTTCCTAAATGGCCTAGAATGGTGTCTTTTGCGTGATCAGCACTACACTTGCAGGTTTTCAATATTCTGCTATGGATCTGGACTCCTGCCTCAAATTTGCTGCCAGATCTAACAAAAGAGGTGGGGGAGGGGAGTTTCTGCTATTTTCTAGTACCATCCACACAAACTAATATCCTAATAAATTAATATAAGCATAGTATTTTTACCATACAAGTTGGTACTTTGAATTGAAAAAAATTCAGGTAATATTCTGCTCTCTTCTATGATGGGCAGGCCTCACTTTAGATCCCACTAAAATGTCAGAACTAAATGCAACACCAAAGACCAAGTTCCATAGATTTAACTCATAGATAGTGGTGGACTGTTTTCCAGGTTCTAATGTGACTGTCAGTTTTTGTATAGTATTAAGGCTGGTGCCAGGTTAGAAGCCAGAAGACAATGAGTTTTAGTTTCACCTTAGCACAGAACCAGCTAGATATTGTTGGCCAACTCTTTTAACTTCAGCTCTAGGAACTGTTTCTGAAATTCTTGCCAAGAAAATAGCAGGCACTAGTCTAGGTAATCACCGGGAAATGCACAAGACTGTGTTGAAGGCACACACACACACATACACACATACACAAACACATGCACGCACGCACGCAGTCAAATGCACACACCATCACTCACTCTTCTAAAAGTGAGTTTCCTAGTTTCTAATTTTACAGCTGATACTACATGAATTAAAAGACTTTTATGGATTTAATACCATATTGATAATAATCATTTATTGTTGACAGGGGACTCTTTCATTCTCATGTTTCAAAATTATATTATAGATTCAATTTCACATCGAATTAGAAGTAGATTGGAAGCACAGCACAATATTTCAATATTTAAACTAAATTTTGAAAATGTATCCTATTAATATAATAATCCAACTAATATTCCACTTTATTTTCCATTTTTTTAAAAAAGCATGCCCCAGAGAATTCCTTTGCCTTGTGAATGGTTTATGTGTGCCAGCTTGTGATGGAATTGAAGACTGTCCCAATGGATTAGATGAGAGAAACTGTGGTGAGCAATGTTTTATCATTTCCCTCGTCTTCACATTGTACTTGATTTAATAAATAATCATCCTTTTTGATCAAGACGATCCCTGCAGGTGAGCTTTTCTCAAAGAGTTTATTCCTCACAGAAGAGTTTATTCCTATCTATGAGTCAGCTTGTCCAAAACATATTGAACATTACACTTTCAGAATCACCTGAAGTTCCTATGATTCAGCCAATGGTGAGAAACAATTGGTTGCTATGGGAAAGGAGATCTATACATGAAGAAATAGAAGCTACATTCATGAACTGCTCTGTCATATAGCTATGAACCCCGCTGGCAGAACCTAGACATGGAAGAGTAGACATATATTTTCACACCCAAACATACAATCTCAAAAAAAAAACAACCCACCACATTATCTTATAATGTGGATTGATTAACATCATTGCTGGTTGATTTAAGTCTGTAACTCAAGGAATCACATTCTAGCTTGCTTTTTTTCCTGGTTTTTTTTAGCATATCCAAAGAGACTATGCTCTATGAAACATTTATTGCTTATGTGATTTCTCTCTCTCTATCTCTCTCTGTGTGTGTGTGTGCATGTGTGTGTGTGTGTGCATCTGTGTGTATAGAGGTGAAAAAGATCTTGGGATAGTAGTTAATTGAATGTGAACTGACATGTAGTTGCTACAAAACAGCAAATCTAACTGTAAAGTATATTTTCGTATAAAGTACAATTGCCTGAATTTCAAAATCAGTATTATACTGGATGGCCAGTGAAAATTCACTTATTCTATAAAAACAACATAAAGGCAAAGGCCTTTCAAATGACCACCGACACAAAAAGACATATGAAAATACATTGGGTATTGTGTGCCAATTGTATCATTTCACTTTTTCACCCCTGTTCTTCTTCTTCCTCCTGATTTTTCTTCTTTCTTTTCCTTATGCTTTGCAATTTGCCAGTCTGCCCTGCAAAATTTCAATGTCAGGAAGACAGCATGTGCATCGAGTTCTCCAAGGTCTGTGATAAACATCTGGATTGCATCAATGGGAGTGACGAGGAGCAATGCAACGAAGGTATAGAATCCAGAACCATCTATTAAATAAACTTTCTAGAACCTGCTATCTATCCTCAGAAATCCCATTAACTGAGATAGAGCCATGGAGGCACAATGGCTAGAATACAGATGGCTAGATACACAATGGCTAGAATATTGTGGGATAACTCTGCAGACTACCAGCAGTTTGAACAGCTCAAGATTGGCTCAGCTTTCTATCTTTCCAAGAGCGATAAAATAAGGACCCAGATTGTTGGGGGTAATATGCTGACTCTGCAAACTGCTTAGATAGGGCTATAAAGCACTGTGAAGCAGTATATAAGACCAAGTACTATTGCTGTAGTATGAGACGTGAAGTTTTACATATTTGGAGGGGAAAGGTAAATGTATTGCATTTCCTATATCCATATACTGTATATAGGATATATAGGATAGGATATACAGTATTCACACACACGCACACATATATATGGATATTAGTTAATTTAATGAGAGCTGACATGCAATGCTGCTGCAAAAAAGCAAGTGTAAATTTAGATTACATCAATAGAAAGTATAATTTTCAAATCAAGGGAAGGAATCATTCCACTCTATTCTGAACCGATCAGCTGCCCTGTTGTTTCCTATTTTGTACCACATTCTTGAAATGCCTGAAAGGAAACCACTTGAGTGAAGGTCAATACCTGCTCTTTTTTATTCCAGAACACAGGAAGTGAAATGAATGATTTAAGACATAGGAAGTCAAACTGCAGTTAAATGTTAAGGGGGAGAAATTTCCTAACAGTTAAAGCAGCTCAGTAGAGGAACCAATTGGAAGTTCAAGCAGAGGCTCTACCATCTTGATCTGGATTCCCGAAAGTTGGACTTGATGACCTAAGTGACTCCTTCCATATGATTCCATCTGCATTTTAAAACAAATCTATCTTGCCTTACTTGTAGCTTTGTTTTCAGAGGACAAATTGCTCCTTAATATAAATGCAATGGGCACTGATGTTGTGATTGTCACTTTCTTTTCACCATTATCATACCTTTGAGGCTGAGCTTCATGACTGTAATCAAGTGCAGCTGGTAGGTAATTTGTGGAACCACCAATACTGCCAAGTTATAACTCTCAGCCAACATGGTTAATTCCTAACATTTCTGGACATGGTAATTCATGTGCATATGGAAGGTCACAAATTCTCCACACTGTGAGAAAATTGCAGTAATGTACTAAGTGCAACAAATGGTAAGAATAAAACCATATTCTTTTTCCACCACATAATATACCTTTGCAGGAATCCCTTGTGGACTTTACACTTATCAATGTGCTGATGGGAACTGTGTGAAGAAGCCCAACCCTCAGTGTGACTCAGTCCCTGATTGCAAGGATCAATCAGATGAAAGGCAATGTGGTAAGCAACTAAGCAACTCAGAGGAAGAGATCCATCCTAGTCAGGGGAATATCTAAAAGCATCTCAGTTTCTTCTGATTAGAATGATCTTAATAACAGAGCCATTCTGCTATTCATTCTGTCAAGGGTGGCTGGCACTAGGCTTCAGTCCTATGCACTAGTCTTTTCCAACTGTTGGGACTGCAGTTCTCAGAACTTCCAGCAAGCATGATCATACATAACTTACCTGGAGGATATTAGTATCCTTTCTGATTTGGGTTGATAGGATCCGTAATTCTGGGTGGTCTGAAATGCTACAGCAGTTTGGAGAGACTCAATATCAAACGGCTATCATGCAGAGTATCAACACCCTCCTTCTGAGAGGAATAATATATGAGTGGGAAAGTTTATGTGAATGGATATTATCATGTATATATTGAATCATTCTTGTCAAAAGAACAATAATACCCATAGTATATTTTTCCTTTTCATTGAAATCAAAACTTGCATTTTACCCCTTTCTATTCCAATAATTATTTCCCCACATAGATTAATCCATTTTTCCACTTGCATTTACACAGCTCCAAAGGTTGAGTGTGACTGTTTTGGCAAGAAATATAAAATGGTGAATGAAGATGATATGCACAGTTTCCTGTGGCAGAAATATTTTAAAATCCATATGTATTATTTTGTTAGATTTATACCCTGCTTTTCCTCTAAGACAGGGTTGTCAAACTCACATCATCACGGCATTGTCACATGATGTGTCACAACTTTTTCCATTTTGTTAAACCGGGCATGGGCATGGCCAGTGCGTGACGCATCCGGCCCATGGTCCGTGAGTTTGACAGCCCTGCTCTAAGAAAAGTGACAGATACAGTATTCTTTTCTCCATTCCCCCAATTTAAAACAACACTGTTTTTTTCTATGGCTGATAGTGAATTGATATGTCTGTCCTTAGTCCAATTTCTTTTATTATTACTGCGTACTGTGGTCAACATCAACATTTGTGGGCAAAAAGCGGCTGAGAGTAGATTTTTCAGCTGGTAATTTGGGTAGAAAACTTTGACATTTGAAACTCATTCCAAAGTTAAGTCTTAGGGGCAACTTTTTATTTAAAAAAACCATGCTCATTATAAACACATTTACAATGCACAACTTGGACTATGTTCTCACAGAATCTGCTCCGATTTCACAAGAAATAAAGAGATGCAATTAATCTAAAAATTTCATATAATTTGAATGGTTATGAAAATACTTGGTTTCAAGATTCAGTTAGAAGGAAATACTGTCAAGACTCTGAACCGGCTTTTTGAATTGGACCGATGATTCTGATCAAATTGGGTGTTTTTTTTTCAAAATTCAGAAAATGTTTTGGATTAATTTGATGCTCAAATTGGATTGCCAATCCAAGAATTCAAACTGAAACCAACCAGCTGTTCCTAATGGAGTCAATCATCAAACTGCACACTCACAATTTGTTCACCAGCATTATATGCCAAGTGATTAATGTACAAGAGCCAATTCAATGTAATTAGGGATTTGGACTGAGTCCAGAGAAACTCAAGTTTGGATCTGCCAATCATCGGCAACCTGTATATGCTCACAAGAATTGTTGTGAAGATAAAATGATGGGAGATGCCACTGCCCTAGTATACCAACTTAAACTTCCTCCCAGAGCCCAAAGCTTGAGGCATAAATGAGTGGTAATCATAAAGGAAAACCTTGGTTTTTCTGTAGATATTATTTTTCAAAACAGGAAAACAAAATCCATCATAAAGAATCTTGCAAGTACACTTTTTCCTCTCCCCCACTCTGTTCTACCATTAGCCTTCATTCTTCTCGTTCTTTCTATTTCCTAATGTTTCTCTTTTTTCCCAGACTGTGGAGTGCAGGAAACAGCAACACAGAGAATTGTTGGGGGTGCTCATTCTGTGGAAGGGGAGTGGCCTTGGCAAGCGAGTTTGCAAGTGCGGGGGCACCACCTTTGCGGGGGAACATTGATTGCAGATCGCTGGGTGATCACTGCAGCTCACTGTTTCCAGGAAGATAGGTAAATAAAAGGATGGGTGGCTTAAAACTCATCTTTTGACATTTGCTTTTTGTCACACTATCAGATGCACTGCATTTCCTTAATCAGATAAATTAATAGTGCTGAACAAACAATTAAATATATACATTTAGCCAGGGGTGGGATTCAACATTTTTAACAACTGGTTCTGTGGGCGTGGCTTAGGTGGTGGGCATGGCTTGATGGTTATGTGACTGGGTGGGCATGGCCAACTCAATATCACTCACATCGAGGCATGCATCTCCCCGCCTGGCCTCTCATGGCTGTGGGGATACTGCAACAGTCGTAAGTGTGAAAAATGGTCATAAGTCACTTTTTTCAGTGCCATTGTAACTTTGGTCACTCCACACAAGCAAAGTACCAGCAAAGGAGGGGAAAAATGCTCCAGAGAAGTTCCAGAGACAGGAAGTCTAGTCCTGCCAAGAATGTAATAAGAGTTAATGGAGAGGCAGTTTCTGTAAGCAACACCAGAATGTTTCCTTCCTGCCTTCCTTACAGGATTAGGCCAGTAATTTCTTCTAACAACTGGTTCTCCAAACTGCTTAGAATGTAACAACCAGTTCTAGTGAATAGGTGTGAACCTGTAGAATCCCACCCCTGCATTTAGCCTATAGCAAATCCACAATCTTGTAGTAATGTTTTTGCTAGCTTTTTGTTTCTCCTTGTTTATTGTTCTAGGGTTGCTTCTGGAAGAATACTGCATAACATCCTGCCTGTTATTCTGCCCTACCCCATTGCTTTCCTCTCACCGTTTCTTTTTCAAGATAGGTTCTCTTGATAAGAGATGTTGTTGGTCTTTTGAGATACTATAGGACTCTTGCATAAAACCAACATGTATACTCCTTTATTTATAGCCACTATCTAAGCTAATTTTAACTGCTCCTAGTTTCTCTCTTCCTCTTTTCCCTTTCCTCCCTGCAAGCAACTATGTGCTTACAATGTTCTTTCTTTAGGGTAAGCCTCCCTACAGAAGATGCAATGACCTGTGACTAACAAAATCTTACCCATTAATAAAGCCAGTTCTGTAAATTTTGGGTCTGGGGCAGAGTTTGACAAGGCATTAAGACAGTTTCCTTTCTTTCCTAAACAAAGTCTTTTGAGCTGTACTTGGGAGCTGGACACATATAGTATCAAGAGAAAAACCAAAGTTGCTTATGCTATTTCCCACTCTTTTCTTCTGCAGTCAGGTTTCCCCCACAGTCTGGACCGTATACCTGGGCAAGCACTTTCTGAATGTCAGTAGCCACAATGAGGTTTCCTTCAAAGTGAACCGTATCTTGCAGCATCCCTACTATGAAGAAGACAGCCATGACTATGACGTGGCTCTGTTGCAGCTTGACCATCCAGTCATCTATTCTGCGTTCATCCAGCCCATCTGCTTGCCTGCCAGCTCTCATCTCTTTGAGCCTGGCCTCTTGTGTTGGGTCACAGGCTGGGGTGCAGTCAAGGAAGGAGGTACAGTGCTTGGTTTGTCTGTCCTTAAGGGCCCCCATTTTTTTTTTAATTTAAAAGGATGAATCAGATATAATCATAGGGTCAAAAAGGCATCCTAAGCTTTTGCCAAAAGGAGTGTGCAAAACTTATTAAAAGTTGGCCAGTGAAAGCATATTCAGCCTCATAGGAATACATGTGTGCTAAACTCATGCCAAGCATTGCAAGAGCTTTGCAACAAGATGCTACCAAGCTCCCTCTAGTGGATCCTTGCATAAATCATGCAAATATTGCAGCATATTTAGGAATGCCAGGGAGTTGACTTCAAGATTTGTTCCTTTCCTCTTTCCCCTCCATAAGTACATTAGGTTTGTTCAAGAGGTTCTTCCAAACATCTGGAACAAAAGCTACTCATTCTAGAACAGCAGCCAGAGGAATAATACCACCGGATTCAACCCATTCTGTTAGGTTTCAATAGGCCATCTTATTTTGTAAACGGTTGTTGCTGTTGTTAGTTGCGAAGTCGTGTCTGACCCATGGACAATGTTCCTCCAGGCCTTCCTGTCCTCTACCATCCCCTGGAGTCCATGCAAACTGCTTTAGTGACTCCATCCAGCCACCTCATTCTCTGCCATCCCCTTCTTCTTTTGCCTTACCAAGCAGTATCACTACATTTCTTATTCAACTGAAATTTCCTAAAACAGAGAAATGTGATTATGATGTCACACTTTTTAGCATGAAGCAAGTAAACATTGACCTGAAAAAACTGTTGCATCCCTATAGAACAGGATTTCATTCCAATCTCCACATATTTTACAGCAAGGTTTCTCAACCTTGGCAATTTTTAAGACTTGTGGACTTCAACTCCCAGAATTCCCCATACAGGGGAATTCTGGGAACTGACGTCCATGCGTCATTAAGTTGCCAAGGTTAAAAACCTTGCTATAGAATGTGTAGAGATTGGAATTTCTTAGAAACAGAAAATACCTTCTTCCTCTGGTCACTTCTGCTAACCTGCAGCTCCTTTCCCACAGGTCCTACAAGCAAGATTTTGCAAAAGGTGGATGTGCAATTAGTTCAGCAAGACATCTGCAGTGAAGCTTATCACTATCAGGTCTCTCCCAGAATGCTTTGTGCTGGCTACCAGGAGGGCAAAAAGGATTCCTGTCAGGTATCTTTAAGCACTAGTTTCCATGATCTAGAAATAACTTTTCCCTCTCCTGTGACACTGCCTTATTTGCATGCAATGTCACACACTGAGTGTTGTAAAGATAATTACACAGAACTTTCTCTTTTCTTTCTATTCGAATTATTTTTGCCCTGACTGCTCTTTGGTTTCACCTTCTAGGGAGATTCTGGAGGCCCTCTTGTTTGCCAGGAAGCCAGTGGCAAATGGTTTCTAGCTGGAGTGGTGAGCTGGGGAATGGGTTGTGCACGTCCCAAAGACTATGGAGTGTATACCAGAATCACTAGTGTAAAGGAATGGATGAAACAAACTATGTCAAACTGAGCATCATTCCAAATCCTCCTTTTGTTACAAGGAAACACTGTTGAGGAGACACCTTTAGTCTTTGTCCCAGTTTCAAATAGCCAAACCTGTGGAGACATCCCATCTTACACCTGGCTCCTGTTGCACCTGATATTCAAGCACTGGTCTTTAAGGATGTTTTAATGTGTGGAGAAGCCAAAGAAGGCCACTGAAGAAAGATTGTTGAAAATAAATATGAAATTTGAGAAGCTGCTCCAATGTAACAACAGAGAGGTATGGTGTTCTCCTTCAAAAGGTATTGACTGTAGACCGGCCCTTATATTAGTTTGAATGGAAACTCCAAGACATTAGGGAAATTGATTCTCTTGAGTGTTAAATGTGGAAGTAGAAATTGGAAGTCCATCCAGTTTTTCTTGTATTATATCAATTCCCAAATGGTAGTGACGAAAACACTGAGAAATGGGAGGAGCTGTTTGTGGAATGTTAAGGGAAGAGCATCAGGTGAATTTTGTATTATTACTTACATGATTCATGCCTTATCTACATGCTGATTATTTGAAAAAAATTAGGCATGGATTTTCCTACTGCTAAGATTATTGGAGTTTTCAATGTATTTCAAGGTCACATCCTTATCCAACACACCTACTGCAACTTCATCCCAAACTACTATGTGGATGAGGTAGGAACAGATGCCTCTTAATTTAAGACTGGCAATAAAAATCCTTAAAATGCTAAATGAGAAAGCAGAGATTGTTGTCCCACGTGTTTGCATAATGGCCCTGCTTGCACAAATTGGCCAGTCTAGTGATCCCTTTCCCTGGCCAAATGATCCACTATTATGTCCTGATAGTGCATGATATCTGACGGCCATTTCCTTTAGTTCTGCAGGAAACAATTGAGCAGCTAGATCAAAACAACCTACTTCTACTTTAAGGCATCCAGGTAGATTGACCCCCTTTACAAAATTAAGATTCATTCCTTGCATGAGATCATTTCATTGATCAGGACTAAAGAGAAGAGATGTTTTGCAGTCAAAATGTTTACTGAAAACTTAAATAAGATTTCAGGCACCTTTCAATATTTGACAGCAAAAGAGAAATTCTGTCAATAAATGCAAGGGATCTTGTAACTGAATAACCTCAGCTTATCTTCAGAGCTATAGCTTTGTACAGAAATTATGATGAAACCATTCTGAAAATGATATAAGCGTGCTTCAGAGGTTTCCAATACTAGTGTGCCTCTTGCCAACAAGAGGATGTTTGTTGCACATTTATCTTCTTTTTTGAATCTGCACATGTATGGTATATTTGTCCTTAGTAAAAATTGTTAAGAGCTTTTATTTTAACATCCCATCAACTTGGACATACTCCTTACAATGATATTATGGCGACTTTAAATGTAGCAGGACTGTGGCAGGTTAGCATTAGGATATGGGTTGAAGCTACTGGACTCATTCTGAAGTAGAATTACCACCACTTCCTGATAAATAGAAGAGCTGGTAAACACAAGATGATCTTATTAAATTGGTAACTTGCTTGTTCAAGAAGTATCACCCTTGGATGATACTTCCCCATGTTTTGTTTAAAGCAAGGGTGTCAAACTCAAGGCCCGTGGACCGGATCCGGCTTGCGGGGTGCTTAGATCTGGCCCGCAGGGCTGTCCTGGAAACAACAAAGGACTGGGCCGCAGTGCCTCTGCCTGTGAAAATGAAGCTGGGAAGGGCCACGTGCAGCCCCCTGGGCTGCATTTTTACTGGCAGAGGACTGCAGAAGGCCATCCCAGATGAAACTGGGGCCTGGAGGAGTAGCACCAACCCTAGCCATACATCCCCGAGGTCAAACACAACCCTGATGTGGCCCTCAATGAAATCGAGTTTGACACCCCTGGTTTTAAACTGATAAGCTGCTAGCAATTACCCTGTGCTTATTCCTAATCAATGAAGAGGGGCTCTACCTATTCTCCAAAGCACCCCGAAGACAGAACAAGGAGGAATGGATGGAAACTAATCAAGGAGAGAGAAGCACCCAAGAACTAAGGAGAAATTTCCTGACTGAACAATAAATCAGTGGAACAACAAGAAATTGTGGATGCTCCAACACTGGAGGTTTTTTAAAGAAGAGATTGGATAACCATTTGCCTGAAATGATATAAGATTTCCTGCTTGAGCAGGGGGGTGGACTAGAAGACCTCCAAGGTCCCTTTCAACTCTGTTATTCTATTAATTCCAAACCAACCAACTTGGTTTCAGAAATAAGACACACTTCATGTGATATGGGTGGTTATATACATTTGATAAATAAATACAATTCTGGTACCACCAGAAACCGCTCATAGCATTCTAAGCTAGTACAAATTGTTTTGGCACTGAAAGGGGCCAAATCTTTTAAGAAATTCTGCTTTCCACCAGAGGGCAGAAAAAACACACAAACTCAAAACCAGTAACTATTTTGTTATTCTTCCATGACCATATAGCTGGTTTCTGAAGCTGTTATTTCAATCTGATAAGACCATCCATGCCTGTTTTGAATCAACAGCCCTTTAGAGTACATTCTTTAATACTGAAAATATTCCCAGTTCCTCCTTCAGTCACAAAATTGAACTCATGTTTTCAAAGAAGTAAATAGTTGCACATGAAAGACAGAATTCATACTTGGAATATTTCTTTCCTAATTTTAAATACTTCAGAGAGATTAAAACTGTGTGTTTTGGTAAAGGTTTATTAAAGTCCTTAATCAATAAAATTATGGCTGAGATTGTATACCATACTAAGTCATGCTTTCCTTAAATGAAATATGGTTTAGTAAACAAATTCCAGTTATTATCTGTATTTGGAAAACACATTTCATTTAACATGTTTCCTGAACACAAACTAAGGTTCCTGAGCCGTATGAATGGACAGTTACATTCAAGGAAAATAAATTTCATGAATTCATACTTTCTCTTGAATATAAGAAGCTGGAAAAATAGATCTCCTTGTTCTTTATAGCACTGGAAAATGAAATGTTAAGATCTGAAAGTTGCATCCTAACCTGAGATCACCTTAACATAACTAGAGCTCAAGACCCACAACCTCAGCCCCAACTAGCGATAGTTCTTCTTGCTGGAAAAAAGGCCCGACTGGCACCAAGGAGAAGCCGGCCAAATCTCCATTTCCTTGGGTTTCAATCTTTTAGCTGTTCTCCTCCATCTAGAATCTTAAGTTATCTTTCCAGCAAAATAAATGAGTTGGTGGACTCAAATGCCATTATGGAAGGATGTGTTTCCTATGTACATTCTGATAAGTGCATATTCTCTAACGGCACAAGAACATGAGACACAGTAATGAGATAGTGAAATTTATTCAAGAGTTTTTACACAGCATCCTTGGACACAATTTAAAAATTGCTTTCTCAATTAACAGATATCTTTGTAAGTAAATGCGTGGCTTTCTATTAGAAGTAATATTTGTCCCGTTGATTTACATAAATGGCTATATTTCATGGAGCATTGAAATGAAACATGTACATAGGTGGCTGTGTGTGCATGCAGAAACACATGCATTCAAGTATATCAAAGGGCAGATGCTCATCCATTAGAATACAGTATTGTTACTAACTCTCCTCAAATATCACAAGAAAGAAAGGCTATAGGGAAGAATTTATGTGCTTCCCTTCAGCCTTCAGACCTTTTGGGATGGAGAAAATGTGAGTAAGTATTTGGAGAACATTTATGTGAGAAAAGTATTTGGATAATTGCAGTTGTACATCTGGGAACCTGAATTTTTTAACTATCCTCAATCCCATAGAAATTTAACAGAATCATACAATAGGTTGGAAAGGGCAGGATTAGCGAACACATAGCTCCATCTCCCCACTATATATTTTTGCTCCTGATGTCTATTTTATAAGGACCTTTTTTTAAAAAGGTATATCCAAACAGCCATAGAGATGACAATTGCAAGATAAATAAAAGTGAAATTGATCGGCCAGGTAAAAATAAAACCAATGTTATTGCTGAGTCAAATCTGTTTTCTTCTCCCTAGTGGTCTGGCTAGTTGCACGCTAGAGGACATTTGTACATCTCTAAAGCTGCCCGCGTGGACATGCTTTCTTTTGAGCAGGCCTTCCAAGGAATGGTACACATATAAAGACAACAACACCAGCCCCTCTTCTCTAGGTTGTTCTCTTAGAGTTCCTGCCACCCACTCCCTTGCTCTGCTTAGCAGATGGCAAATCTGGAAAAGCTAATTAATTATAACAGACCTGGGAAACCGGTGACTGGGAAAATTGCTCTGGCAACAGGAGATTTGGAAGAAAAATGAAATATTTGTCAAGTTGCAGTTTGCTTGCCTTTAGATCTTCATGAGGTAAGTTTCAGCAGCAACATCCACTGTAGCTTGTTTTCATCAGATGAAAAAAGAAGTCAAACTGCACTGCAAAGTCCTTTGGTACATCTTACGATGTCACAACATGTGTACAAAAGTGATGGGGCTTGTGTTGAAAGATTGCACACACAGACACTGCCCCACCCTCCCAACGCCTCTCTTGACTTTCTCCTCAGACACTGCTGTGTTTCAGTAAAATCTGGTGCAGTTCACACCAAGACAATGTGATCTGCTTAGTGATGTACTTTCAGGAATAATAAAATCTTGTTCAAGAAGGACAACACTCTTCTCCTCAGTCTAAAGGCATAAGGTTTATTATTGGATCTGCTCCCGAAGAAGAATTGTTATTTGAACATAAGCCAAGCTCTCCATCTACAAGAGAACTACTGAAGGAGAAACACTCCAGCTGGTTTCTTTCTACAAAAAGGGGTGTATTTTCTTACACAACTTCTTATGCTGCCCTTTGCAGCTAAAAATGGAACTCTCGAAAAACACCATATGCAATGCAAAGAGCAAAAGATGGAGGTACTACATCTCGTCATGCTTCCTCTCTTTCAAATTGCAAGGGTATTCCTGCATGCCAAAATGTTAAAACTCGTTTAATAGAGATGGTTGTCCACAAACAGGAACAGGAATTGCAGGACATTCATTGCAGCAAGATGCAGCACATTCATTGTTTAAAAACTCATGAGGTCCTTTCCAGAACCTCGTTTATTCCCACACTGAGCAAGCCTGAAACTTGCATGGCTAGAAGGTCTTTGTCTGTTTTACTTTGTTTTCCCCAGCAGGGGAGGTTGTGACAGCATGGAATGTCAATTTTGGGGGCCATGAAGAAATTAGTTCCTGAAAGTGTATGCCACATCTCCCAACAATAACACAAGGGTTAAGAAAAGTAATCCAGTATTTTGCCAAATAGCAGAACGTACAGCAATTAAAGGGTGCTGCTTAGAAACCGGAAAATACAATATTTCATCTTATTCTAACAACCCCCACCCCATTGTTTTTTTTAAATAACAGTACAAAAATAAAGATTTAAAAGTTAACTTTAAAAAGAGAGAGACATTGATCATCATTAGCATCATATCCTGAGACATCTGGTTTGTAACAGTTTTAAAAAAACAGCAAGGAGGAACAAGGGCAGGAAACAGAAATGAGGACAAAACAAATAAACAGGATGCAAGAACAAAGCTAAAAGGAGTAGCTAGAAAAGCAGCTTGGGGGGGGGGGGGGGGGTGGAATCAGGTGAATGCAGAGCACCAGTGGTCTCAAAGACTACCTGAGAGCCAAGACATGGCTCTTGGCTCTCTACCAGAGAGCCAAGACATTCCTGCAGAGACAAAAGGTTAAGAAATCTTTTCTGCTAGAACCTCCCATTGCAGATCACAGAAAGAAGAGCTTTGTGAGTTGAGCCTTAGGGATGCCTTCATCCTTCCTTTACAACAAAAGACAAAACTCATCTACGTGTCAAGCCCACAATCCTTGGAAAACGCCAACATTGCTCAACAGCAAAGTATTTATATACCGAGAAGATGGTAAATGTCAGTACCTCTATACAGTATACTTGCTATAGAATGAGCCCGACAGTGTTAGAACACCTTGAATGGTAAGGCAGATGACCATATTCTCTATTCTGATTACAAATAAAATCAATGGTTTTAAAGAGTGCATAAATCAGTACTGGATAGCTGCTGGTAATCTAATCCAAAACCTGGTTTTCTTGGGAATATCAAATTTAACTTTATAGTTAAATTTTCTTTTCTCCAACTCTTCAAGGTTATTAGATGGGAGAATAGGAACAGGAAATTAGATATACAATGAAGGTCCTTTTTTTTTACAGCAAAGACATGGCCTTCTAAAGGGCATTTTCCCTTCCTGTTCCTTCCATAGGAAAAGCTATAAAATATCTGACATTGCTTTCTGTGAGAGTATACCTCCTTCCCAGTTTTGGACTGATATTCCAGATCACAAAAGAAGAAAAGAATCCCTAAGAAGTGCATGAACAGTTTAAACATTAGACTACAGATCTTTGCAGGAAAATATTTTCTCTTTTTTAATGTATCAGGATGGGTTGAATGTTCTGTCCCCACTGTAGAAAAAAAATCTGTCACAGTAAGTTCATTATACATTTTTCCTACAGTGAAATGTACCATGGCTGTCTCTGAAGATGGAATCTAGTAGTTCTTTTTATCAATTATCTACTGTAATTTTTAAAATGCTTTTGACCAAGAGGTGCGAGTAAGGTTCACACTGTTTTACAAAGAAAGACCCAGAGACCTACGTGGAAACCCCACAGATGTCTCCCAAAGGGGCACTAACATTAAGGGAAGCCAAAAGGGCCATTCTTTTGGGTGAGTGGACTAGAGCTTCCTATAGGGCAACCTTGTTCTAGGTCTCATGGGGATGTTTGATGCGAGTTTGATCCACCTGGTGAGTATGGACAATGTGGCTTTATGGTTCTGAGAAATCATCCCAAGACAAACGGTAGGGTGTGTTTGCTTGGGTGTGTCCTTATCTCTGATTGACCAAAGTTACCATATATACACACCCAATGTTAGGCCCAATTTGAATTTAGGGTTACCTTCCTATTTGTCAGCCACTATTACTTCCTTGAGGCAACACTAACTGACTTACCTCTGGCTAAGAATCTACCATGAAAGCAGCAGAAGTCTTAGCTAGTTGTTTATAACTTGTGTTCTTCTTTTCCCAGATGGATTTCTTGAGATAATTTGGATCCAGTTTTCTGTGTGAATCATAGAGTAGAAGCCTTGGCCATGACTGAGCAAAAGTATACTGGAAAAGTGATTTGAGCTAGCTGATTCATTGACAATTGATATTTCAGTTGAATGCATACATTTTGTAGAATGTATGACCAGCAAACAACTTCTTCTAATAATCATAATGGATAATAAGCTTAATAAACTATATGATAAATATTTAGTTTAATAAATATATACAGTCCATCCAAAATCTAGGTGCATGGAAATTCAATAGCATGACTGAGTACACTAAAGCAATGAATATCAAAGAATGATGAAAAGGTTAAAAGTATCAAGAAATTCCACTTGTAAAGTACTAGAGAGCCAGTTTGGTCTAGTGGCGAAGGCACCCAGGATAGAAACCAGGAAACTGTAAGATCTAGTTCTACCTTAGACATAAAAGCTGACTGGATGATTTGGGCCAGTCATTCTCTCTCAGACTAACTCACAAGATTATTGTTGGGAAAATACTATGAGGCAGGAGTATTAGATATATTGCTGCTTTGAGTTATTTATAATAATAATGAAAGGCAGGATAAAAAATAAAAAGAATATCCTCCACAATTAAGAACTGCTCAAATATTTTTCTACAATTTGGAAATTGTAACAATATTTATAATAGGATTGATGAAAAGTAGCTAATCAAGGTTTAATACTATAAATACCATGAAAGAGGAGATGAAGAAGAACTCTGAGTGAAGAGTTAATGCAAAGAGTGCAGGTAGAGATTAAGAGCTTGTTTATTATATTTTGTTTGATACTTTTGCCTTCTACTTCTCCCACTGTCTTTTCCACTCTAGGAAATCCAGTCAAGGACCTTCAAAACAACTTTTAGTAACTGACAATTTATTTAGATGACATCTCTGCTTACGTTATTTGGGGAAATTGGATTGATCAGCAATCTGTACCTCTATTTAGCTGGGTTAGAATTGAGAAATATACTAAATGAACAGCTATATCCAAGCTTTTATTCAATAAATTTACATATTTGTTGTATTGTATACTGTTGCCTTATGAGTTGATTGTACCCAAAAATATCCTAAGAGGGGAAGAAGCAAATTCTATCTTTCCCCTCACAAAGAGGGTGGTTCTTATAGTTGGGATCATATTTGCTTTATATTGGGGGATCTCAGTTTTCCTGTCTTCAGGGATTTGTGGGTGCATCTTTGACATCTTTGTGAAATGAAAAGCAATTTCTGCCACAGGGACATGTAGAGTATGAGACATTCTAGTCTAAGGGGAAATATGAGGTTTCAAGATGAGGCGGGAGCAGGAGCCATCCCTCACAATCCTTTTCTACTTCAAAAACATGTCTTGGAATATGAGGGAGTGACAGATTCTGGCTTCCTGGGCTCAAGTGATTTATAGCCTTTCCTGAAATACTCAGGAAAATCTGATTATTATTATTTTTGGAAGCACCTGGCGGATTTGGGGAATGGCTGTTGTTCTTCCTCATCCAGAGACAACTCACCCTTTCCCCATCTATCCAGCCCTGAAGGGAAACACCTGAGTACAGTGTATATAGTGTGGGGTGGGAACTGGCCACCCCTTTTTCATTTGTTTGTCTGGCTTTTCCCCTTGTTAAGATCTAGAAGGGGACGAGAAGAGGCGCTATACCTTCTGCCCATTTCCATGTTTGGATCCAGCTAGGAAATCCAAAAGTGCAGTATCTCGCTCTTTTGCCCCATGGCATGTGGTTACTGCGACTTCAACCAAGTAGGGGCTACATAGTTTGTGGTCACTGACTCAGGAGACATCTTGGAAGAGGAAACAAGACAATGCACTGATATGCTATTGGAGGCTAGCCCTCGTTTGACCCCAGCCATTGGGGAAGATACTTCTACAAATAAACTGCGACTGATGGCCATGGCAGAAGGTCTGTTGAATTTATAGGAACAAAGAGAAAAGCTAAGGAAAAGGCCAAATAAAAAACAAAAACCTGGAGCTGAAAAATAGTCAAAGTAGAGGGAGTGCATAATAGAGCTGACAGGCAATGTACTCTCTGAAGCAGACAGGACTCAAGCAGGAAAGGAGAAAATCTTCTCAGCAGAAGCAATATCAAAACCCTTCCATGCCCAGGAAGGAGATATCACATTACAGAACATTCTGGTTTCCAGGTAAAAGGATGATTGGCAAGAAACAGGAAGTGCCTTGAAACAGCTGAGTAACGAAGATAGTAAGAAAATGCAGATTGCAAAATTTACCCTCAGCAAAGACAGTCTGATTTTTTTTTTTTTTGCAATACAAAACTTTGGTTTTTCTTTTAGATAATAATATAAGGTAACAATAGAAACGTAATTAGAGGATGCGTGGCTGCCAAAAGCGTAGTACCCAATTGCTATGCAGAAGAACCAAACTCTGGCTTCTCCAATTAATGATATCTCAAAGAACAGAGGTAGAAAAGACTTTCGTATGAGACCCTGGAAAAGTACTACCCATAAGAAAAGATACAGCCGTCAGAAAAGTCATTTTCCATTTCATTTTTTTAAAGGCTGCTTTGTATGTTCAGAAGTCATTTAACAGCCCCTCTTCTCCTGCCTTTAATCTTCTATTGTGATACTCCATTTCTCAGAATCATGAAGCTTATTCTGGAAGACAAATTCAAAATGGTCTCAGTCCAGATACCTACACCTCAGCAAAAAAAAAAAAAAAAAATCCAAGAAAAATTGGATAAAAGGTGAGTCACAGATAAAAGGTGTGAAGGTGCAGATGATGTGTTGTCTTTATCAAAACAGAATGGGAAAGAGAGGCCCAAAGGGAAGTTTAAACTAGTCTACAATGCAGGATTCTTGGCTCATGGAGGAAAAGACAATATCGGAAGAGGGATCACAAGAAAAGGAAATTAACAAGAAAAGGGGAAGGAGTGCAAAATGGAAAGAGCACAAAGTAAAAGGCCTCTAAAAGGTCACAAGAACAAAAAGAATCAGTGGAATCTTGGTTGATGGAGCTTGCTACAAATGTAGTATTAAAAAAACCAAACAGTTTAGACCAAAGTGCAACAGCTGCCAAGTGCACAGTTTTCCCCCGCCTCTCACCAGCCTTAAGCTTCTGTATATTGCTTGATACCCACACAGGCATTCCATGCACCCTCTTTTGAAGCTCCCCCACCATCGGCTTTTACTGGTGCTTCCTCCTGCTCTTCAACTTCTTGCAGCTGCAGCTCCTCCTCATTCTGCTGTTCTTTTTCTGGGTCTTCCTCGGGATTCTGTGTTGCAGCAGGCGGCACCTGAGGAAAGAACAACAAAAGTAGGAATATCACCAGTAGGGGCCAGGGGATTCCACCTCTTTTGTAAAGATTCTGGAACAGAGAGAATAATTTTAAGACTAAGAAATAACAGAATAAAAGAGTTGGAAGGGACCTTGGAGGTCTTTTATTCCAACCCCCTGCTCAGGCAAAAAGCCCTATACCATTTCAGACAAATAGTTGTTCAATCTCTTCGTAAAAACTTCAAGTGTTGGTACCTTCACAACTTCTGGAGGCAAGTTGTTCCACTAACGAATTGTTGTAACTGTCAGGAAATTTCTCCTTAGTTCTAGATTGCTTCTCTCCTTGATTAGTTTCCATCCCTTGCTTCTTGTACTGCCTTCAAGTGCTTTGGAAAATAGCTTGACCCCCTCTTCTTTGTGGCAACCTTTTGGATATTGGAACACTGCTATCATGTCCCCACTACTCCTTTTTTTCATTAAACTAGAGCAACCGTTCCTTATGTGTTTTAGCCTTCAGTTCCCTAATCATCTTTGTTGCTGTTCTCTGCACTCTTTCTAGAGTCTCAATATCTTTTTTACATTGTGTCAACCAAAACTGGGTGCAGTTTTCCAAGTGTGGCCTTACCAAGACATTATAAAATGGTATCAACACTTCACATGGTCTTGATTCTATCCCTCTGTTAATGCAGCCTAGGACTATGCTGGCTTTTTTTGGCAATTGCAGCACACTGCTGGCTCATATTTAACTGATTGTCTAGGACACCAAAATCCCTGTCACAGTTGCTACTGTTGAGTCAGGTACCACCTATACTGTACCTGTGCATTTGGTTTTTCTTTTTCTGGAAAGTAGAACCTTACTTTTTTCACCATTGAATTTCATTTTGTTAGATAGGTCCCAATGTTCAAATCTGTCAAGATCCTTCTGTATCTTAAGCCTATCTTCTGGAGTGTTGGCTATTCCTGCCAGCTTGATGTCATCTACAAACTTGATGAGTTTCCTATCTATCCCCCACATCATATCTAACATTTGCCATCAACTCGCTCTGGGTTGCATTTCAGCTCTCATAATGTCAGCCAGTCCAGCTAAAAGAAGAAGCAAGGACATAAGTTTATCTTACGTTATTATTTATAGGAGTTACAATTACATCAGGGATAAGCAACTGTTCGGAACTGAAAATACATGTGGAATTTCAGAAGAATGGTATGGCAAAATGGCTATCAGGGAAGATATTCCTGTTCACAAAATGGCTGCTGTTATGGACACCAGCAATCATAAAACATCCGTCTACCAGAAGGCAAAGTATCCTTTCTAAAAGATGCCTCCTGTAATCTTTTATGGGATCCAAATGGATTCCTGAAAATATCTGTGCTTTGTTCTGCAATATTACATCTTCTTTCTGTTTTAATTTTTAATTAGAAATCTTTTAAAAAGTGAGATGGAATAGGGAGACTGGTGGACACAGTATCTTTCAAAGGCATCATGTTACCTTTGCTGAACTAGAATCATGTACATGAATGTAAATAGATAAGCACATTATGTGATTAATATTTTGTTAATGAAGAACTTGGGACTAATTACCTCACTTCAGAAAATCCCTGATTCTGGAATATCAGGTAACAGAAAAGTAAGCAGGACAATACCATACAGATGTAAGCAAAATGCTTGCAATTCTGAAGAAGTACAAATTTATTTCAATTTTGGATTATCATATCTATGAAAGGAAATAGGTATCAAAATGTAATTCTGCTCCATCTCTCCTTGTAAAAAGAGTATTCACTCACTCCAGAAATAATATTTTTAAAAGTCAGAAAACATGGATCATTGGCTTAGAAATAAACATTTCTAAAACCAGGTTGGACATGACAGGGAATAACAAAGAATAAGTCTTAACACACATTTGCCATTTGATAGCTGAAAAGAGAGTTGAGAACTGAAGGATTTTAAGGACTGATCTAACCTTGAGTTTCCTGCAGGACTCAGAACAGAGGCCACTGGGTGAGCTGCACAGTTCCTTTGAGACAACACACAGGAATTCTGATTGATCCTCATTCCCATAGTTATAGGATGACCCAATATTCACCAACTGTAGAAAGAGATTAATGTTATGCCAAATGATGCAAAATTGGGAACACTTCTGGTCTGAAAAGGTCTCAAGAGGGCAAATGTTAGGATTAGTGCAGAAGACTTCATGTGAGTACATTTGTCCTCCACGGTGGTCTTTATATGACAAGAAAGAAATTTAACTGTGTTTTTCAACAGATCCAGAAAGATTCAATCTGCCAAAATATTTTTATCATGCCACAGAAAGAGCTAACGAATATTTCCCCTTGATCTCCAATTAAGTTTGGAATGTTCTAGGATCTGAAAAAATCTATAAATCTTAAACTTATATAGTCTAAGAATTGGGAGTATCGCCAATTCACAATTTATGCCTGCAATCTTACCTGTGTTGCTTATTAAAAAACACTGAAAACAGTGGGACACCCTGATAACCGGGCACAGGATTGCATAAAATGTCTTACACAACAACACAGGTTTATTAAAAAGTAAGCACCATACAGTTTAATGGAATTTATTCCCAGGCATGCAGTCAGAAGTGGAAAAAAATGACTAATAAAATTTATTAGGTCGATAGCATATTTCTTCCTTCTTTGAATCTGCTTTGTGAATTACTTATAAGAGCCACATGTGAAGCATGACTGCCTATTCTATTTTTTAAAAATTGAAGATTCTGAAATCACTATCAAATTCTACACTGGGAAACCTATATTCACAATATTTTAATAAATTTAATAAATAAATGAAATAATCTTGCATACCTGTTCAAAGCGCCACCCATCTGACATTGTAGAAACCATTTGTGTGAGCTCTTCCTCCTGACATTGCAGTACTCTGTAGACATGCTTTGGTGGCACCTAGAAGAAGCAGAACAAAGAACAATAGACCATATCAGCAAGGACTTTCCTGTCTACCTGTCCATATTTTCTATTAATAAACTAAGCCAGGCAGTTGCTTTCTATCCTCAATTCTCGATCCTAGTGAAGAGAACTTTTTAATAGCATAAAGACAGAAGCATCTGCATATGTGCATTAGACTGAAAAGTTTTAGATGAGCAAGGAGAAGAGCTATAGCTCACTGAGTGAACATTTTCTGGCAGGGCTAGGCAAAGGGTTAAGGATCCAGAATTTTCTGGCAATCAAAATAAGTAGTGCTGGTATATGAATGATGTGATTCATTATAAGGCAAAAGGAGTGAGCAGTTCTGAACTTGGAAGAAGGAGAAGGACGTGACATTTCATGCCTGAAAATGCCATGCCTTGAAATAAAACATTTTGCACTATTCTCACATGGAGATTCAGAGCAAGACCACACATGAGACTAAAAAGTGCAAATCTGCCTTAAAAGATTTAGTCATTATCTCCCATTAAAAGCATCCAGAAGTACAGATTTCCTCATTTCAGCAACCTCCAGATGGGGAGGGATTTCATTTCCCAGCATTCCCAGCCCATATTGCTTTAATCATTTGAGGCTGAAACTGATTGTGCCAACACATCTGGAAGGCACCTGGTTGGGAAAAGCTGCAGTACTATATGAGAATTGCTGCCAGTCAGAATAGGAGATATATGGACAAATATAAGGCAAAAGGAGTGAGCAGTTCTGAACTTGGAAGGAGGAGTGAAATACTAGGAGGTTTTCCAGCTTCTCACTTCTTTCATAACAACAATCAAAGGCCAAGTGCCAAGAGAACTGCCTTTTCACAGCTCCCCCATATGATCTTTCTCCCCCAAAATATAGACTGAATTTTCAGGACTCATTCTTTCATTCTTTTCAATTGCATAATTAACACTGAATAATAAATACCGCAAAATTAACTGAATTAAAACAGCCCCTGCTTTAACAATTAAATGCTGGCTTGTTTATTCCCAGTCTTGTAACATTTATTGTTGTTCAATTTTTTTGTAAAATGAAACTTTCAATTTCTCTTAAATATAATTCTGACATTTCCCAACTCACCTGGGCTATGGTGTAATCCTTTTCCTCCAGTCTGTCTTTTATTAATCTGATTAGAGAGCCAATGTTGTAGAATTCTGCTTCTTCCAGAACTCCTAATAATAGGAGAGAGCATAACAATATATCACTAAGTATGAAACAATCTTACTACCAAGTTATATTAATTAAAATATAAACATTTGGTTATTAAACAGAAAACAGTTGGCAGTTCTTGAACTTAACTCATATCAGAATTATATGCTGATATGACAAGAGTGTGATATCTTTCACAGAGATCAAATCTGAAAAGGCAATCAAAATCTATGGGGAGAAGGCAAGACTACAATGAAAAATCATGTAAGGGAATAATTCTAATACTGGGACACATTTAATACTAAATGTATATTATAGCTCAATGGCTATGTCACCCCAACTCACTTCAGTATTGTTGTGAGGAAAATAGGAAGGTATGTTGGATATATTCGCCACCTTGAGTTATTTGTAAAAATAATAAAGGTGGAATACAAATAAATAAATAAATATGTTCAAACCCACACAATCAACTTTTTAAGGAAGAAACTATATGACATCAGAAACAGAACTTTATCCACCAACATTATAGTAAACTTGTGAGTGCATGCATCTCTTGCCTGATGCAAAATGAGGAAGAAATTTTGATTTAAGAGAATCAGATTATCATAGAAACATACAATTGAGATAGAGCTCAATAAATCACCCAAGTCTATCAATACAAAAATTAGTAATGTAGTATGAGAAATAATTAGCCTTATTCATACTTCCCATTTTAATTCTTCCACATAGATGTTAATATCTATTTTCATTCCATTCCAAGCAGCTTTAGCATTAAATTTATGTATGCTTCTCATTCTTTCTGTTACAACACTAATCTATCTTCCAATACTTTTCATACAGGATCATCATATTTGATTCTTATGTTTCTTCCAGCTCTATGGTTCTTATCCTTCTTCCACTTCCTCTACTTATATTTCCATTATATTTTTCCTTCTTTCTGTGCTTTCTATTTTTTTCCAAAAAGCAATCAAAAACTGTCAAGAATGTTCTGTGTCACGTTCAGGATCTCTCATCACCATTATATTATTCACCAACTCTTTCAATCCCTCATCATAAACAAATCAGTAAAGTTTTTTATTTATACAGGTAGTCCTTAACTTAGAGCAATTCATTTTGTAAATCAATGCAGCCATCAATAGTCTGAAGTCCAACAAAACACCAGGTTTTGATGGCATCCACCCTGAATTTCTAATTCATTCTGGGAGACTAACAAAGAATTGGCTCAGCAAATTATTTTCAAACATACTTTCTAAATCTAGCAGACACCTCCCACCGGAATTCAAAAAAGCCAAAGTAATATCGCTTCTGAAACCTGGCAAACCATAAGAGACAGTAGAAAGCTACCGCCCCATTGCTCTTCTGAGTTCTTGTTACTAATTTCTGGAGAAACTTATCATAAACAGAATTGGACCCACAATAGATACATTTCTGCCCATGGAACAACCTGGCTTTCGTCATAAATACAGTTATGTTGATCAGGTGCTGAGCCTAATAGGACATATCAAGGATGGTTTCCAGTGAGGCTTAAAAACCACAGCTGTGTTCATCGACTTTACTGCAGCATACAATACTGTGCGGAAGAAGGGTCTGCTTTACAAACTGAGTCACATTATTCCCCCTGTAAAATCCTCTATCACCTAACTAACAACATGGTCAGCGATAGATCCTTTCAGATCACTATGGGGGACAATGTTAGTAAGTTAAGAAGACTCAACAATGGCCTTCCACAAGGTTCTCGATTGGCACCCACTGTTCAATCTTTATATCCAACTACTGCTCAATCTTTATATCCAGCTACATAAATTTGAGTATGCAGATGACCTGGTCCTAGCAGCGCAAGACAAAAACTTGGAAGTATTGGACTGCCTCCTCTCTGAGGACCTGAAGACCCTGGGAACATATTTTGCTGACTGGAGACTCATACCCAGTGTCAGCAAAAGGGTGACTACCTGTTTCCACCTCAAGAACAAACTCACCAATGTCTACCTGCCTACCTGAATAATAATACCTCTGAGTAACTTTGGATCAGACTCTCTCCTATAAGAAACACCTAGAGAACACGTATGCTAAAATAAATACCAGGAACAACTTACTCCAGAAACTTAGAGGACCTAGTTGGGAAGCCTCAGCCTCTACTCTCAGAATATCAGCACTAAGTTGGTCTACTCCACAGCTTAATACTGCACCCCCACTGGGCTTAATAGCTGCCACACTAGCAAGATCGATGCTAAACTAAATGATACAATGAGGATCATAAGCAGTTGCATAAAATCTACTTCTACTTGCTGGCTCCCCGTCTTGAGCCACATAGCACCACCAGCCTTATGAAGGCAGGAAACCTTAGTGTAGGAGTACAACAAAATTATAAGAAACCACTTCTTCCTGTGCATGCTGATCTTCCTCATCTATCAATTGGCAGGCTTAAATCCAGGAAGCCCTCTTTGGCACTCGCTCAACAGATGTCTAACAACTTTGACATCAACTCACAGTGGAAAGCCACATGGACTGTTGAATGTCCAGATACAGGCAGTACATAAATGACCCTACACAAAAGGTGCCAGGTTTTGACCTTCCTCGCCAGCATTGGTCAACTCTGAACAGGATCCGTACCCAACATGGTGCCTGCCGGGACTCATTGTTTAAGTGGGGTCTTGTCTCTATCCCTCTGTGTGACTGTGGTGCCCCTCAACAAAATATCCATCACATTGTGTCCGAATGTCCATCAAGAGCTTACACCAGCCCAATGTCTGATTTTTTTTTAACATAGACCACCCTGTCCTTGAATGGCTGGGTGGAGTAGACATTAACATTTTAACTACTATAAGTCCATATATTTGCCATATGCTAAATTAATAAATTTCCAAAAAGCAATCAAAAACTGTCAAGAATGTTCTGTGGCACATTCAGTATCTCTCATCATCCTTATATTATTCATTAACTCTTTCAATCCCTCATCATAAACAAATCAGTGAAGTTTTTGATTTATACTGGTACTCCTCGATTAACAGCAGTTCATTTAGTGACCACTCAAAGTTACAACAACATTGAAAAAAGTGAGTTATGACCATTTTTCGCACTTATGACCATTGTAGCATCCCCATGATTTACATTCAGATGCTTGACAACTGACTCACATTTATGACAGTTGCAGTGTCCTGGAGCCATGTGATTACCTTTTGTGACCTTCTGACAGGCACAGTCAATGGGGAAACCAAATTTGCGTAACAACCATGTTACTAATATAATGGCTGCAGTGATTCACTTAATAAATGTGGCAAGAAAAATCATAAAATAGGGCAAAACTCACTTAACAAATTTCTCACTTAACAACATAAATTTTGGGCTCAATTGTGGTAGTAAGTTGAGGACTACTTGTATTCCTTCCTTTTCCATTTGTACATGTGAACAGATTAAAACATAAACCCTGAATTCATAACAAACACATATTTCTTAGCAAAACAATCATTTTCATTCAACTCTGAATAGTCCCAATGTTTATCTGACTCCCATTCATTCATTCAAGTCATCTGATCAAGTCATTTTTCTCCAGAATCACATTCAATTAAGCCTGGTTCTTCCTTTGTCATTTGAATGTAACATTAACCAAAACAAATTACCTCAAAACTAATATATTAGATTTGTAATATTGCTCAGTTCAAGATTACTTCAGATACCTACTTTCATGGGCATTCACCACTACCTAATGACACCAATTCATGCTTTCTGACTTACACTTTAATCCTTTCATTAATTATTAAACTTAATTTCACTTTTCCACATTCCACTCAGTAAGATTAATCCACCTTCAATCAGATCTATTACAATTACATTTTTCTCATAGTTTCACATAAGCACATGTATTTATTTTTCTTTTATTTTTTTTAATTATTTAGTTATTATTAAGAGTAGAATACAAGCAATTACAATACTGGTAAAATGTAGTGATTTGTAACCAAAAAAATGTACATGGAGGTGATTAAACACAATAAAAAAAATGTGGGAGAACTAATAACAGAAAAAAAGAAGAAATGTCCATATAACTTTTCATTTAGCATCAATATAGAATAAATTAAATCCTCAACCTTATTATTCAGTCTGGATCATATGGCAATCTATTGCTTTATGTTCTTATTTTTAGAGCAATTTTTTTTCAAAAATAGATAAGGCTCTTATCTGAATTCATCAGGAAAATATATTCCTTTCCATTTACATAAGATTATCCTCTTTGCCAAGCCTCAGGCTTGATAAAACCAAAATCTTCATAAAATGACAAATTCTATATTTTAGGAACATAGCTTGACAGCCCATTTATATCTTAATTCTTATATTTCCCTACACACTTGCATATACTGTGTTTTGCAAATGCTATGGTTTGCATATGCAAAGTTACCATATGGTAATTTTTGATTGAAACAAAGCTATGACTGGGCTAGACCAAATGATATTTTAGGGGAATATCAAATGCAAACACGGGTCAAAAGATGAAAGCTGAAGACAAAAAAAGACTCTGAAAAGACAGAATAAGAGAGAAACAATCTGACAAATAAATACTGAACAGCTTGTAATTAATATACTGGTCATTAACATAGCATGAGTCTCTCTTTTTTTCCCGCTACCGTAGGTCAAAGAAACGGGCAAGGAAGTTTAAGGTGATCAGATAAAACATGGAGCCTGCCCCCCACCCCCCAAAAAAAATATCGACCTCAAAAGACGGGAAAGAAATGGAAAGTCAGTATGTTCAACAGATTTGAAGGAGTACAGATTTTAGAAGCTAAAAGAGAAGAAGCACTGAGTCCAATACTCAACTAAGAAGTGACCATCCTAAATAGATACATATTACTAAAGGTGGCATAATACCTCATAACTTTCATTTACTTTAGTATACCAGCCTAGATAACAGAATTGTCATACACATGCCAAAAAAAAAAAAGTACTTATGAAATTGCTGCAGATCACACTGAATCTTAATGAAAGCAAGCAAACAAGCAAAAATACTTGCATTGAAATTCATCATTTCAGAAGA